TGAGGAATTCATCTTCCTTAAATCAGTGTCCCTCTTTGATCCTCATAATCCAGCAGACTTCATAGCAGTTGCTGTCAGAGGTGATTTTGGTCCCAGCCTCTGCTCCTCCTGCATGCACCCTCCCCCAGCTCGGAACAGTTCATTCGTTCCTTTCCCCATTAGGGATCTGCCCCATCCTCCCAGGATGGGCAGGAGCAGCTCTCACCACTGAGAGACACTTGGCTTCTGCTCTCAGCTCCTCCTCCACTTCCAGGTTGTTTGGGTTTTTTCTGGGGTGATTCTTCATAAAACATATGCCTGGGTAGTGACCACAGGCTGGGCTCACACGGAGGAACAAGCCAGGTCCCTGTGGGGTGGGCCACAGCAGTAGCTCAAAACTCGGACCACTCTGCAGCCCCCCATCCACTTACCCTCTGTCAGTGAGAACAGCAGCTCCTGGGGCTGCTGGACCCCAGTTCAGGCTGCCTGGGGAGCAGGCTGGGGTAGCTGAGGTCTGGCCATGTTTTGGGGCTTCCAGGCTCCAGCCAGGGACTCTCAGTAGTGCCTGAGTTCTTCAGCCCTCTAGGAAGGTCTGTATTTTCACTCCCTCCTCCCAGTACAGCTTGTGTAACCGGGTTGCGGAAACGCTGCCTGGGGTGAGCTCTGCTCTGCTCAGCCCTGTGAGCAGGAGAGACGAGCCATGTGCCACCTCAGCCCTAAGGAAACAACAGACCACTTCCCTTTGCAGGAGAAACACAGTAAATCATTCCTTCGAAACTAAAACTAAGCTTTATAAAGCACTTAAGAGGTGCTATATGAGTTAGTCACTTGCAGATTATCACTATAGGGTTTACCAGCAGTTTTCCCTCAGGTTTCTCCTGAACTTTCTTCCCCAAACCTGATGCTGAGTTGTCATTTCTTCCACCCCCACATCCTCTACCGTCTTGCACCTATTTCTTTTCCTCACACACATCCATCTTTTCTTCCTCCTCCCAGACACTCTCTGCACTCTCCAGCATGGTTTCAACTTCCCCTCAGCACTGTGGTTACTCTTCCACACTCTCTCACTTAGCAGCTCACCACTTTTTTTTCTGCAACAAGAATCACAAAACATCAAGTTCAGCTGCCCACACATAATGCACTGGCGCCCAGCTCTATTGATCTTCATGTGCTCAACAGGTTGCTCCTCCTCCACTTTGCTGACAGAGGGGACAAGACTTTCCGCAATGCTGCTGTTCCTGGAGCAGGCTTGGAGCAAGCCCTGACTCTGCCTTCCTCACCAGGGAAGGGATTCATAGGTTGGAGCCTCTTGCTGATCAGCAGAGCAAAACATGGGCTTTCAGGGACTTTTGTGTTAATTTGTGAGTTTACAAGAGAGCAGATGGCCCCATCCACCACAACTGAGCCCCAGCTGACTGGTGGAAGTACCTGGGCAGCTGTTGTGTTCACGGGGCACAGCAGATCCCAGGAGGGATGGAGAGTGCCCAGGTGCTGGCTCGGCACAGCACCTTGCACGGCCTCCAAAGGGGCCACTCTGCACTCAGCTCTGCCCAGGGACAGCACACTCAGGCCCCAGTCTGACATTTAACCTTTCAGCTGGGAATGGAGCTGTGCTGGAGCAAGTCTGCCTGGAGTAAGAATAGCACCTGCTGTCTTGGGACACAGCACAGTTGTCCAGCTCCTCCACGGCAGCACGTGGCACTGAGACACAGAAGGCAGCCTACCCTCCCAGGAATGTCTCAGGCACTATTAGTGGGAGTGAATCATACCCCCAGACAGGCACGACCCTGAGCAGCAGTCTTAGGAGAGCAGGGCTATTTTGGGCTTATGACATTGAGGATGAAAGGAGACACATGATGGGCTGATCCTCCTGGCATGGGCAACCTCCAAAGCCCTTTGCAGCCTTGTCTCCTCCCCTAGGAATGTCTCTTGTGAAGGCTGAGGGGTGGTTTGGTGGGACCTGGGAGGCCGGAGGTGGGGGGGTGGAGGTAGCTGTGAGTTTGAAGGGTGTGCAGGGCCACCTCTGCCCAGCCCTCAGTGTCACCAGCACATCGTGCTTACAGCAGGCCCCGTCTGAAGGTGTGCACCTGCCCCTGAGCTTAGGGCACCCAGCTGCCTGCTTTATTTTCATCCACATCCACAAGAGTTAGAGAGATACCAGAGGTAATGCATTGAAACACAAATTTTTTGCATCCAGGAGGGTATTCACCTCTTTCCACCTGAAGCTCTCCATCTCTGGGTGGTTCTTCAGCATCAGCCATCACAAATTCCCTCCTTGACTTATTTCCATCCTTTTAACATCCTCTTTCTTTTTCTAGTATGAATTTCTTTCATTCCACTTTTTTTGTTTCATTTGTTTCTGTTCCATTTTCATTGCTCTGTGAAAAGTTGCACATTAAACTGTTCAGGGAATAACCCTCATTCTCCCAGAAGAGTTTTCCAGCTGGATCAACCAGCCAAATCAGTCTCCATTTTGCCCCACATTCAGCTGGAGCCACAGCAGCAGTGTTAGCAGGCAGGAACAAGTAGGCAGGGGATTGAGTGTGTGTTGGGTAGCTTATAAAGTGCTGCCACTAAATGCAATCCCACAGCCCTGGGGAATTGATCTCATGGCAGCTCCTGGGAAAAGGATAATTGGCACGGTCCCAACCTTCTAAGCCATTCCCAAGCACATCCAGCGCTCCTGCAGATGAAGACTCTGTTGGTTCAGTTGGCAGACAGGAGGCACAACTCCTCATTCTTGGGCAAGTTATTTTTTCCAGCAGCCTAAAAAGTTAAACTGTCTCCTGCTACAACCCCCCAGTGTGGCTTTGCCAGCACCTCTGTGCTCACTGGGCACCGCTGTGTCTCTCAGAACACAGTACAGCGGTGTGGGCACTGAGCACAGCTCCCCCTTGGCTGCTCACTGAAAGATCAGGCTGGTGATAAAGGCTTCCCCCAGCCCATCTGGTGCCATGGTTCAGGTTCCTGCAGAGCACCTTGCCAGGTGGAGACTCAGCCAGGGCCTTAGCACTTGGTGCTTGCTGTGGCAGGCTCTGGGATGGGTTGTGTGCTTCTCTGAGGGTCTCCAGCAGTGGAATGTTCACGCTTGTGCTGCCCTGAACCATCAGCACTGTCTAAACTTCCTCGCAGTAACTCGAGCTGTGAAGGTTTGTGCCCATGGCCAGGCATTTCTTCAGTGTTCTTATCGTGTGCCATCGGTGCAGTTCAAAGTGCACCACAGGCTTCCCACAGAGCACTCTGTTTGCAGGCAGCCTGTGGGCTCAAGGGGCAGGTGGGAGAGCCAGGCCCCCAACCCCAGCATGAGTTGGGATTACATGACAGTGCCATGCTGATGCCTGGACACTCTGAAATGAGTAATGCCAGTCTGATTAGGGTTGCTAGACTTACCTAGCAGTTAGTAATTTCCCACTGTTTTTGCATGGCTGCTCCTAAGCAAAATACAACAGTTTTTCTACAGGTTTATGAAGTAGATTATTGCACTGGGTAACCAGGCATTTGACATGGTGGAGTTAGGCCAGTGGCATGGCCTAAGAGCACAGCAGGACTTGGGATTGCATCCTGCAGCACAGCACTGTGCCATGAGCTGCTGAGAACAAGGTGCAGGAATTCCCCTGGGAAAGAGCTGCTTCCGGGCACTGGAACTGAAGTCATCCCATGGGAAAGAAAAAGAGCAACACGCCCAGATATGTCCCAGTGGGTGTGAGAACTAACATTCAATTCTGATTCCTCAAAACCACAAGCCCATAATAGTGGATGGAGGCCTGTCTTGAAAGAATCATGGTGTAGGGACAGGTTTTGGGGAAACAATGGCTAGACTGACTGATAAGGTTTATTAAAGTTCCAGATTTCTCAGACAAACTGAAGATCTTGCATCTTATCAATTCAGTATTTCATTAGGTTATTTTCTGGGCAGTAATAGGAAAAGTTGGGCCATTGCATAATAATCATTATCAAATGCTCTCAAGGAAATGTAAAAAAATCAATTGTAACCAAGGCATTAGTTCACAGATCTCTGGAGAACAAGGGAAGAGGGGAAATCAGTAACCCCAAACACTGCTCAGTCTGGCAATAGGGCCACCCTGGCTCTTTGCCAATGAGCATGAGTGCACTGGATGAAGAGGAATGAAAAGAAATGTGTCTGACAGGGAGTCATGGTGAAACCTTCAAAGGTGACATGGGAGGGACAGGTGTCTGCTGATTTTATTAACCTTTTTGTAGTTGAAAACTGAAAAAGATGCGACACCCATCACTCTTTTTCAGACAGGAGTGACAGAAAATCTTTTTCTCCTCTCCCTCCTTGTTACTGTCAGCAGAAGCAGGCCAGACTCCCTCCTGAGCACTGCCTGGCTGTGTCCTGGAGACAGATAAGGATACCCATTTTGATATACCTTTCCTAGGCACACAGATGTGAAGCACTCACCTAGAACTTCCCAACAGTGTCAGCATCCTATTTGACACAGTGCCTGGTGTCAAATCACAAATGAACTCAACTTCTCAGAACTCTGGAATGTCTCCAAATGTATCCCATTCACTCTCCAGCCCTTCCTGTGCTGCTAAGGATGTCTCCTCAGCAGTCTGCTGGGTTTTCTCACTACCTGAGATCCTGCAGTTTCAACTATACCATACATTCACACAAAGTAGCTGAACACATATTGTCCTTGGGAAACACCAAGCAGAATTATGGTGCCCAGTGCCACTGGGGAGATGAGCTTCAGGCAGCTACTCAGACTTTGCTGCTAACTCTGCAGAGCATTTGATAACCATTTCCATGGGAACAAGCACACAAGTTCAAGTCCTGCTCTGCTTGGTAGGTCAGAATTGGGCCACCTTTCTGACAGGTGGTTTGACTAGAAGGAGATTCTCAACACTCAGTTTGCAATGCACACAGATGGCTGCACCAGCCTCGTTCTCCCAGGCAGAAGTACAGCAGTGTAACTGAGCATGAGCACTGTAATTTTGCTCACATTGCATGTTTGATAGACCACATCTGTTCATACAGTGCTTTATTTTCAGCTTCATTTAACAAGGTCAGGATACCTACTTCCAAACAGGAGGTGAGGAGGAAACCTGTCAAACATCTAGGTTTTAAATTCAGGATAAAATTGGTCAAACTGATCATAGCAGCAGTAAGGCTCAAACACACAGTTTTGACTATGCTAAGCTTAGCAGCAAAATGACTTTCATTTGAACATCCACATTTGGAGCCTCTGAAGTTGCAGGTATCTATTTTATTGACACTGGTACAGCAGCAGTGACAGAAAATGTTTGTGTTCATAAACAAATAGAAGATTGCTTCCTACCAGTGTAGCTCTAGCTACTGCAAATACACAGCTGGAAAGATACTTTGTGGAAGTTCTGGTTATCCCAGAGGAAGCTCATTTTTCAGTTCTGAACACCACCTGGAAAGGAGAGGCTTTGTTCAGTCTACACACGTCCAGATGAGTCTTTTGATCCCTGAAATCATCCATCCCAATGCACCATCCAGGTAGGATGTGCAAGTGGAACCCAGGCCAAGGCAGTGGTGTCTGTAACCCTTAAGACCACACATCACCACACATCGTGCTGTTGGACTGATGGGTTCAAATGCAGAAACACATGTGTTGGCTTTCCAAAAGTGAATGTAAAGCATGGAAGGGCTTAAAAGATTTAGGCATTAAGATGATTAATTTTTAGGCATCCCAGAGCAGAATCCAGAACTTGTGCCATGTGCTTATGCTCAGTTTATACTGCACAGTATCAGATACCTCAAAGGAGGATCTAAACCCGCAGCAGATTGCAGAGAGTGGCCCATAGTCAGTCTGCTCAATCTGCCTTTAGCTGAGCATATCCAATAGGAAATACCTGAAATCTTGCCTCTGTCTGGGCTTCCAATTCAATAAAAGATTGAACATTCCCTCTCTAAAGTCATCTCATGTCTAGAGACACGTGGAAGAACCTAGACTGACCCTTCCTAGTGTGTCCCCTGGTTCTTGGCAAGATACCCTGGCAAGCGCTGAGGAGTGAAAGCCCTTTCCTGGTGCAGGGCTGAGGTGACTCAGTGAAAGCTGCAGACTAAACTCTGGCAGAGCCAAAAGTGTCTGTTGAGTCCCAGGCCAGCTCCTTCGGGAGAAAACATCTCTTCCAGAGTGAAAATGCTGTATGAGTAAGAGGATGCTGCAGAAAGCAGCCTGGAGCCAAGGTTCTCCATTTCCTGGATATGTGCTCTAGGCCCTAGTAGTTTCTTCAAGACATGCACTGGGTTTTTTTACCTCCAGCCACAAACTACGCTAGACTAGTGCAGTCAAATGATCACACTAGGAAAGGTAACTCCAGATCTTGTGCCAGCCTTGGGTTGGAGATAAACCTGGGAAGTTCAGCTAAAGACGCAGAGCTGCTGCTCTTTCCCCAGCCAGAATGCTAATTCTGCCTAAGGCTCACAGAAGGGCTGTTCTAGGAATGTTCGGAGTTAGGTTGACTCACATTACTTTCACTTAATGAAGCAGCTCCTTAAATCTGAAACTAATCTGATGAAATCAGCCACAAAGCAACACCCAGCACCAGAGCCTGAAATGCCAGAGATCACAGTTCACAGAATGATGTGAGCTGGAAGGGACCTTCAAAGATCATCTAGTCCAAAACACCTGACACGGACAGGCACATCTTTCACTAGACCAGGTTGCTCAGAGCTCCATCCCACCTGAGCCTGAACATTTCCAGTGATGGGGATCCATAACTTCTCTGGTTAACCTGTGTCAGGGCCTCACCACTCTCTTCATGAAATATTTCTTCCTTATGTCCAACACAGACATACCCAGTTTCAGTTTAAAACCATCATCCAATGCCCTGCCACTAAAAGCTCTCCTAAAAAGTCTTTCACTGTCTTTCTCATGAGTCCCCTTTATATGCTGAAAGGCCAGAGTAAGGTCTCCTCAGAGCTTTCTCTTCTCCAGGCTGAACAACCCCAACCCTCTCAGCTTTTCTTCAGAAGTCCCTCCCTTCCAGAGCTGTCCTTTTGAATGATGGCTGTACCCACTGGCAAGGCACAAACCTGCTGCTCAACTTGCTTGAGCAAACAGCACAACTGCACACCTGTCTCCTGCTGTGAAACCTTACCTTTGGAGCAGGACCTTCTCGGGCCTTGGCTCTGAGCTTGTTTACTTGGCTCTCAGCAATCTCTACCCTTTCCTCAGCCTCATCTATCTTATGCTGTGCTTTTCTCAATTTGGAGAGATTAATATTGGCTTGTTCATCCTGAAATTGCAAAACAAAAAAGGAAATTAAAAACTATCTGGCAACATGCTGGGGCACAGAGCCAAATTTTAAACTGACGTTACTATGAACTGGAAAATAGGTATTTGCTTCAGTTTAGTGACTCACAGCTTCCTCAGCTTGTCTTTTGTAGGATTTGATTTTCATCTGCAGTTTATCTACCACATCTTGTAACCTCATCATGTTCTTCCTATGTTCTTCATTCTGTGGAAAGAGAATATGCAATTACATGTCCTTGGGAGACAAAACATCAGGAGAATTGCTTTCTATTTTTACCCACCTGGAGGGTGAGCTCTTTGACATGCCGCTCATATTTGCAGATGTTTTTCGTAGCCTCTGCAGATTGTTTATGTTCTTCCTCCAGCTCAGCTTCTAATTCTTGGATCTGGTGAATTAATCAACAATTACCTTAAGCAGGACTCACATAGGACTTGGAGAAGAAAGGTGTCCTGACTCCCATGTTCAGTGCTGGTACCCACCCTGGCCTCCAGCTTCTGGAGTTGCTTCTTGCCTCCCTTCAGGGCCAACTGCTCGGCCTCATCCAGACGGTGCTGCAGGTCCTTCACCGTCTGGTCCAGGTTCTTCTTCATCCTCTCCAGGTGGGCACTGGTGTCCTGCTCCTTCTTCAGCTCTTCTGCCATCGTGGCCGCCTTGGGAGGAAGATGACACAAGAAACCAGAGGAATGTGAGGGAACAGTGCATGCTATGCACCAGCAGAGCATTTACTCCTGTTTCCTGCTGACCATTCCTGCCACCCCATTTCCTGCTTCATTTTTTTTCCATGACATGATAGTGGCAGAAACATGACAGGAAATAGTAGGAAAAAGGATGGGACAAGATTGTCTTGCTGCACACGCAGAGCTGGAATGACAGAAAGGGTAAATGCTCTATCCCACTGTACGGTCACACTGTGACCTCCACTGACAGCAAGTGTCACAGAATCACAGAACATTCCGAGTTGGAAGGGACCCACAAGGATCATCCAGTCCAACTCCTGGCCCTGCACAGACACCCCAACAATCCCACCCTGTCCCTGACAGTGTGGTCCAAACCCTCCTGCAGCTCTGGCAGCCTTGGGGCTGTGCCCACTGCCCTGGGGAGCCTGTTCAGTGCCAACCACCCTCTGGGGGAAGAACCTTTTTCTAAGATACAACCTAACCCTGCCTTGACTCAGCTTCATAGATTGGGAAGAACAGGAACCAGAGGACCTGGGGGGTGGTTTTTTCCATTCTGAGACACAATTACTTTGGAGGAAGCAACCAATTCTCTTCACCTCAGCAGGAATGTATCAGGTTCTTTAATTCTGAAGACAAAAGAGGCTACAAGTGAACCCTCCTGAAAGCAAGAAACAGCACTGGGAGTTAAGAATTGCTGTCCAGATGTCCATAGGGAGGGTCAAGGAAAGTCCTTGGCCACCAAACCAGGAGACATCTCCTGACACAGCAGTTTGGGATTTCCCAACTGCACAGAAAAGAGGTCCTCAGGGCAGGGACTCACTGGTGTCTCAGGTGGGATTAGCAGAGCAAACCTGGATTCATTTAAGCAAATTGTTCCTCAAAATGCCAACAGAAATGGGGGAAGTGTCTGACTCCTCGTCCTGCACACAGGGCACAGCTGGATCCACAGCAGAGCATGGGAACTCCTGTGCTCAGCACCTGGAGTGTGGTGGGTGCTGCTGTAGTGAGTGCCCTGCTATTGCTACAACAGAGGGAGGGTTACTGCCACAAGGCACAAAGTAGTTGAAAAGAATCTATGCTATTTAAGACAAACTAGGATTTAGGTTGCTATCAAACGTTGGACTCCACAATAAAATGAAGATTTTGATGAAACACTGAGTGACATCACTTACAAAAATGTAAATTCAAAATCAAAAAATGTAAATGGCAGCAAAATATCTGACAAAATGTGTATTGAAAAATGTGAGAATACAATAATGGAACTAGATATTCTTTATATATATATGTGTGTGTGCATAAATCATTGCAATGTTCTTTTTCTCTTTTATTCAAACAGAAGAGAAATTATTAAAACATAAGAAGTTCAACATCAAAATGAGAAAGAACTTCTTTCCATGAAGAATGGAGAGCACTGGAACAGCTGCCCAGGGAGGGTGTGGAGTCTCCCTCTCTGGAAACATTCCAAACCCACAAGGATGCGTTCCTGTGTCACCTGCCCCAGGTGACCCTGCCTTGGGTTGGACTGGATGATCTCCAGAGGTCCTTTCCAATTCTAATGATTCTGTGATTTCATTCTTTTTTTTTTTTTTTTTCATGAGCAAGTGGAAAAGTTTTCTTTCCATTTTAACTCCAAATAATGTATTAAAGTGTTAAGATTTTGGGTTGCTCCTCTGCATCAAAAATGATTAACAGTTTGAGTTACATGACATACCAGCCCTACGGCCTGGCTGAACTCCCCAGGCCTTGTATGGGAGGATTCAGCACCAATTTTGAATGAACATTTACAATTCTCATTTTAAAAAGTTGTTAAATAGGATTTTGCAAAGACAACTCTTCAAATACATTAGCCACTGTGGTGGTCTTAATACTGCAGGATTTCTTTGTGGATTACATTTGCATGCAGCACTGAAGAAAGTTATTTGTTTACGACCAACTAAATGTGGGTTTAGTTCATAATTGAAGGTGACAGCCCCAATAACTCATCTCTCAGCAGGACATGGTCCCTGTTGTTCTAATCCTCTTCTGACAGGCAGCCTTTTCAACCACACCCACAGACTGGTTCTTGTACAACAGGTGACAAGAGTATTTACGTTAACTCCCAGCAGCAATGCTTCTGTATACCCTGAAAATTCAAAGGGAAAAACACAGTAGCATCCTTACATCTGTCATTGCCTTCTTTGCTCTTTCTTCAGCACTTTTTGATTCATTAGTAACATCCTCTATCTCTCTTTGGATTTGTGCCATATCAGTTTCAAGCTTCTTCTTTATATTTGAAAGGCTGGTGTTCTACAAAGGAGAAAGAGAGAGTGTCTGTTTTTGGTCTCTTACACACACAGACCACGAATTACTATTCATTCTTACTCCATGAACCTCTGGACCCCAAAATATGTCAGTCTTAGCAAAGGAAACTACCTGGGTATGGAGGAGCTGTGCACGTTCAGTGGCATCCAGGAGCTCCTGCTCAGCCACTTTCCTCGACCGCTCCATCTGCTCCAGGGCTGCCCGTAGCTCCTCCACTTCAGCCTGCAGCAGGTTTGCTCTGCGCTCCACCATGGCCACCTGCTCCTTCAGGTCATCCTGGGTCCTGAGAGCATCGTCCAAGTGCAGCTGGGTGTCCTAAATTTGAAGAGTCATTTTTGTCCCAATGCACTTCTCGAATACTGTGCTTAAAAATAAATCAACCACAAGGTAAACAAAGACCTTGAGAGCTCCCTGGATGCTGTGCAGGTGTTTCTGTGCCTCAGCAGCCTGGCGGTTGGCATGGCTGAGCTGGATCTCCATTTCATTCAGGTCTCCCTCCATCTTCTTCCTCAGCCTTGAAGATTCACTTCTGCTCCTCATCTCAGCATCCAGAACACCTTGCATTGTCTCCACAATCCTTTCGTGGTTCTTTTTTAACTGGGTGATCTCCTCATCCTTGTCAGCAATCTTTCTGTTGATTTCTGTCTTAATCTGAGTCAGTTCTTGGTTGACAGCAAGGATTTTGACCTCTTCATGCTCAAGAGCTGCCTTTAAAAGAAAAAGGAAAAAAACAAAGATGAAGGTAACTTTTCAGAGAACATGATCAGAGACTTCACAGAAAATCCAAAACTTTGTGGCCATCAATATTGCACACAGGCAGTGCCAGGAAAGAGAACAAAAAGCTGCTTAGCATGCTCTCTACTTTTTCCAGTAATATTTAAACTAACTCACCTCTGCCTCCTCCAGAGCTAATCGCAGCCCATTTTTTTCTACTTCAACTTGCTTTTTGGCTTTCTCAAGGTCTCTGATTATTTTGCCATTTGCAGTAATTTGCTGTGTCAGATCAGCTACTTCCTCTGTGAGAGAAGAATGACATCAAGCAGAGGAGCTGAACTCTCTGCTCTGTGGCAGTGTTCAGCACCTCTTTTGCATGTATAAATATGTATACACATACATACATGTGTACACAGTGGTATATGTGTCTGTAAATATGTGCAGATACAAACAGACACAGCCAAGTCATGCAGGACAAGTGGGGCATTGGTGTGGTTTCACAGCCCTCCTTACAGTCAGGACATTTGCTTTATTAGCTTTGTCACTTTACAAACCTGCTTGACAACTTTTGGTGAGACACTGACACTCTCCATTAAGATGGAGAGCACAGTAATGACAGTCCTGTCAGTGCACCTCCTGCAGACATGAGTGTGCTCATAGAGGGCCTTGTTGAAGTAAGATTGTGAGCAGCTAATCACAGAATCCCAGAATCCCAGAATCCCAGAACGTGCTGAGCTGGAGGGGACCCACAAGGATCATCCAGTCCAACCCTCGGCCCTGCACAGCCCCATCCCCAAGGGTCCCATCCTGTGCCCCAGAGGATCATCCAAAGCCTCCTGGAGCTCTGGCAGCCTTGGGGCTGTGCCCACTGCCCTGGGGAGCCTGTTCAGTGCCCAATGGGAAACCAGAGCCAAACATACGCTTGAGAGTGTTGTTCTCCCGTCTGATTGTTTCAAGTTGATCTAAGGTTTCCTCGTAGGCATTTTTCACTTTGAAAAGTTCTGTGTTCAGCAAGCACGATTCTTTAGAGAGAGCTTCCCTCTCCAGCTGGCTTTCCTCGTACTTCCCCCTCCATTCTGCCATGACCTGAAAGACATCATAGGATCATAGAATGGCTTGGGTTGGAAGAGACCTCAAAGATCATCTAGTTCCAACTCCCCTGCCATGGGCAGGGACACCTTCCCCTAGACCAGGTTGCTCAGAGCTTCATCCAAGCTGGCCTTCAACACTTCCAGGGATGGAGCAGCCACAGCTTCTCTGGGCAACCTGTGTCAGTGCCCTCACAGGGGCAATATTCCATTTAACCCTGCCCTCTGTCGGTTTGAAGCCATTGCCCTGTGTCTTGTCACTCCAGCCCATTGTAAATTGTCTCTCTCCATCTTTCTTGTCAGCTCCCTTCCAGTACTGGAAAGCTCCAATTAAGTTACCCTGAAGCTTTTTCTTCTCCAGAGTGAACAACCCCAATTCTCTCAGCCTTTCCTCATAGGAGAGGCTATTATGTTTTATTTCCTGCTAGTACTGAAAATATTATTTTATCTGGGGCTACACTTGAAAGAGACTGTGCTCACTTATCACCTTATCAAAGTTCTGCTGTTTCCTGTCCAGGGCAGCTGCTGATGTGTTTGCTCTCTCTACGTCCAATGTCAGATCCCCCACCTCCCCTTGCAGCTTCAAATTCATCTTCTCCAAGGAGGCACACTTGGAATTCACAGTCCCCACCTGCTGTCCTGCTTTCTGGAGACGCTGAGCGATTTTTTTCCTTAAGGAACATAAATAAAACATGCATATGATTGAAAAAATCATTGCCGTATGTATGTCATTTTAATTAAGAGTACTGCAAACCTCAGGAGCCCCTGGTGGTCTATTGGTTAAGTGCCCGGCGCTGTCACCGCCGAGACCCGGGTTCGTTTCCAGGTCAGGGCCACTCCTGGGCAGATGGAGCTCATCAGCCCTTAAAGGCAACCCACCTACGTCCTAAGGACCTCGCTGCCACCGTCCAAGCTCGCTTGGCCCCGGCAGATGAACCTTAGGATTAAAGGGTGGGCTCAGTTCCGCGCACACTGTGTCTCACCTAAAAAATCCAATGCGCAGGCTGGAAGGTGTAAAGACCTTCCCCAGATCTTCGCTCGCGAAGACTGGCCATTATTATTATTACTGCAAGCCTCAGTAAAATAATTCAGGCTGGGCTACTAAAAGTAGATCTATGGCCTGCACAACATATGTAACATCAGGACAGCTCCTCCCACTGCCCACATACTTGGCCTCCTCGAGCTCCTCCGTGCGCTGAATCGCGTCCGTCTCGTATTTGGTTCTCCACTGGGCCACTTCGCTGTTGGCCTTGGACAGGGCGCGCTGCAGCTCCCCCTTGGCTTCCTGCTCCTCCTCATATTGTTCCCGCAGCAAGTCACAGTCGTGGCGAGCGGACTGCAGGGCGTGGGCCAGGGCGTTCTTGGCCTAAAATTACCCATAATGTTATGTATTTGTGTTGGCTGTGACCAGCAGGAACCCCATGACACTGCACACCTCAGATATGGTCACTGTAGCTTGGGCAGAGGGCAAAGGGCTCTGTAAGTGTTCTGGCAGCTGCCTTCAGCTGCCACCAACTTTTCTCAGCTCTAACCCTGGAAAAGACCAAGAGTGATGCTTCCACCTTGGCATATGCTGTAACTTTTCCTCCCTGCAGCTACAGAAGCAAAAGAAATCACATGGACCACGGCTTTAAAATTTAAAAACTTAATTCTAGCATGTCAGTCATCTTTAGCAAAGAACTTAAACACAGCGTTCACTGTACATATCCTTCTCAAGAGTGATTTTATTGTGTTAGTCTGTGGGCAATACTTACAAACTTCCAAAAGTGTTTTTTAAGTGAACTGAGACCCTGATACATTTTGAAGCCTTGCACATGCTCAGTGGCTCACACTACCTCAATCTCTTCCTCTAACTGCCTCCTGAGTTCCTCCATTTGCTGTGTAAGTGCCTGTTTGCTTCTCAACAGCTGCAGTGTTACAGTCTCTCTCTCTTTGAGTCGATGGCTTAGTTCACCTGTGACAAGAGAGGACAAGTTCTCAGTCCTGTGCAGATTAAGCAACCTGATTTTTTTTTTTCCTAGAGACAGATTTGCTTTAGAAAATTCACTTAATTGTTTCTTTTAAATCCCAGTTTTCATTTTGAAGCAGTAGGATTTTATGCTGTCACACTGGCTGAACTGACAAAAAATGCTTTAGCAGCTTCCCATAATTGGTGATACAAATACTGTAATACAAAAGGTAAACTCTAAAGTTTCACTTTTCCAATAATATTTCCAATAACTGGAAAACATATATTCCATATCACCCTCTGACATGTGGGCTGAAGCACATCTGTCTCATTTCTTGGAGAGGTGGCTATAGGTCATGCCATTATCTCTAGAATTTTTGGAACTTCCTGTAGCCCTCCAATATTGTCTTTTTTCAGATTTTTCCTGACCTATTTTACATTTTTTCTCAAGTTTTCAGTTTTGTTCTAAGGTTCCCCTTGAGCTCTATGCTCAATGACCTTACAACAAACTGGTCATAGAATCATAGAATCATCCTGCAACGACCAGTTCTGAAAGATCACTCAGAAGAAAATAAGAACAGGTTTGGTTACGGTCTATGTGTTCCCACATGACATGTAGAAGTGCTGTACAATCCCTTTTCCCTGAGAAGGAAAGGAGATCATGTCTGATATTTATTGGAACATCTTTTCTCAGTAAAGTTTCTACAGTTCTTGGTCTTGAGCTGTTACTGTTAGTGCCGGGCAACTCTGAACACAGCACATCCACGTGTTCCTGCCTGGCTCACTCACACACACGCACTCGCCCATCTGTTCCCTAGTAGGGGCAGCACCTGAAGGCCACTCCCAGTTCTTGGCTCAGCAAAGGATCTTACTGAGGGACCAGTCAGGAAGACTGTTGGGGCTCCTGTTTTCATCAGGTGGGATTTGAGATGTCTGATCCTGTAGTCAACCAGACCAAGGAGCGTTCACACTCATCACTCACACAGTTCCAAGGAGCCTGTTTGGGTGCAGCAACAACCTCCACCATGGGAGCACAGAAGAGATGCTGCACGCACGGCCAACGTGTGCACTCTAGGCAGTTCTAACAGGTTGCTCAAATAATTTTGGACTGTCTCAAATTCACAGTTTTCCTGCATGAAATAAGTGAGCTATGTCACATCATTCTGGGAATTATTTACCTGAGCAAATAATGCTTGCAACTGGCACATGAACTTTAAAGTGTCACTCATGAACTCATTTCCTTTGGTTTATTACTAATGTTACCTGGGCCTGTACCAGTGAACAATTAGGTCTCACTCATGGCACACACTAGAGAATCTCTTTGCTACTGAAGGGGAAAAATATCCTCTCAGCACAACTTTGTGCTTTCCTTACCAGACTCTGTCTGGAGCTGGGCTTTCTGTATCACCATCTCATTCAAATTCCTCTGGTTCTCTTCAAATATGGCTTTCATCTCACTCATCTGGTCTTCCAGGGTCCGGTACCTTTTTTCCAGATTAGCCTGAAAGAGCGTAAGAAAGTGAAATCTGTGTAGGTGTGTTTGTATGGCATTAAATTCCCACCAGAGAGAAATATCGGCAATTCAAGTATTTAACTTATAAAGAAACACCTTGGACTTAGTAATGGTCTCTGTGCTCCTGGCCAGGTCATCAATCTCCATCTTGAGCTCACTCTTCTCCTTCTCCAGCTTCTGCTTGACGCGTTGCAGGTTGTCGATCTGCTCCCCGAGCTCAGCTGTGCTGTCCGCGTGCTTCTTGCGCAGGGCGGCAGCCGTGGCTTCGTGCTGCAGCGTGGCCTCTTCGAGGTCGCGGCGCATCTTCTGGAATTCTGCCTCCCGCTTCTTGTTAAGTTCTGTTTGAGCAGCGGTGGCTCCTCCTGCCTCTTCAAGGCTCCCTCTGATTTGCTCAAGTTCCTGAGCCAGCTCGCCACGATGCTTCTCTGCTTTCACCCTTGTTGCTTTCTCACTCCTGGTCTCCTCCTCCAGCTCTGCAACGTGGGCCTGGATAACAAGGGAATAGCACATCAGGAATTAAATAGGGAACAGGCAATTGAGTGCTTAGGTTAATGTGTATTTGTCACAGGAGAACACCAAGCCCGTTATTTTGGAGACTATGAACAAAACAAACATTTCAAATTCCACCGTTTTGGCAATGTAGGCAAAGGAAAGGACCTATGGATCCACTCGTGGTAACTTTAGATCACAGTTCTGTCTTGTTGTATGGGGCTTATGTGGACAGGTTTTGATAGTGGTGGGATGCCAGGGTGGCTTCTGTGAGAAGCTGCTTCCCCCATGTCTGATGGAGCCAATGCCAAACCGTGCACAAGCATTGTTCGTGGTAGTGCAGGTTAAACAAGCAAACAGTAATGACAAAATAGTTACATAAAGTATCTTGCCTGCAATTCTCTGATCTTCTTCTGCAATTGAGTACCTGAATTCTGCTGTTCCATAATTTTATTTTGCTTCTGGTTAAAATCCAAGTCTTTCCTGTGAAGGAAATGTTCTATTAATAACAAGAAAATATGTTCAGTAAAAACCAAATAGTAAACTTGTCACATTTTTCTCCCTCGTACTTCCTTAATTTTTCATCTAAATGTTGTTTATAATTCTCCAGCTCCACTATGGTTTCCTGTGCAAGTTTCAAGTCTCCCTCAAGCTTTCTCTTTGCTCGTTCAAGATCCACACACACTTTTCTTTCCAGTTCTAAAGATCCTTCGACCTGTAACAGAAGCATGTATAAACATAACTGATGGAACAACTGAAGAGGCTACCCCTTCCCGTTGTGTTGAACATGCTCACATGGTTCACTTGCTGCTCCAGCTTGATCCTGGCTTTGGTGAGGTTATTAACTTTGTCCTCCTCACTTTGCAGGTCATCCAGAGCCTGTTGCTGGGCTTCTTGCAGGGCCTTCTTGTCCTTGACTAACTTTGCAACAGTCTCCTCCAAGCCTGTCACTACTTCAGTCAGATTTTTCACCTATTGTAAGGCAAAACACTTGAAGGTCACTAATAATTTTGGTCTTTACATAATCAATGAACACAGGCAATGAACTCATTGCAAGACTGACAAAGAGACTTATTTACTTGCCTTATATGGTCAAACTATACAGTCTCTCTGCTTATATATCAACCCTTCAGAAATCACAAAGCAATGTTGAACTTTGGTTTTAATGCATTTTTGTATGACTATGGGTTGGTTTTTCTGCACAACAGTTGTGACCAAATTCAACACCAGGCCCAAGGACCTCCTTATACTTGAACTCATGTTAGTGTTCTAGCTCCTGTTAGAACCTTTACAGCCTATACACAGACAGAGCAACTGTTACTAAAGACGCAAATAACAGAAATAAAAAGCACCTTGTTTTCTGTGGTATGCTTTTCCTTTTCAGCCTTGAACAATGTTAACTCAAGGTCATCAATATCTTTCTTCAGCTCAGAGCATTCCTCCTCCAGTTTCCTCTTTCTGGCTGCCAGATCAGCGTTTATCTCCTCTTCGTCCTCCAGTTTTTCCATTACTTCCTTTATTCTTGCTTCCAGTTGGAATTTTGCTTTGATCAGCTGGTCACATCTTTCTTCAGCATCAGCCAAATTTTCATTTTCCTTTTAAAGAAAACAGAAATGTGTTTCATTGTCACACGTTGGCCCTGACACTTGCAGAAATCACCTGCTCATTAAGCGACTGGAACATGAAATAACAGAATTTGCTTTCAACCCTTTCCTGAACACTCAGACAAAACTGATGTAATCTGAAGAGCCAAAAATGGTTTAAATTACGTACAGTCTGTACTTGCAGCTGCAGATCCTTTTTCTCTTGCACCAGAATCACCATTTTCTCTTCCAGTTCTTTCCTCTTGGTTTCTGATTTAGCCAGTTCTTCTTTTATTCTCTCGAACTCTTCTTTCATTGTGGCCATTTCTTTTTCAGTTTCCACACTTTTTAAGAGAGGTTTTAACTTGAAGTACAGCTTCATCCAGGGCCACTGCTTGACTTTCATGAATGCACGGATGTTGTACTGGATGCAGAAGATGGACTCTCTGAAACCAAAGTACTCCATCAGTGCTGTGAATAAAGCCCATCTCGGAGCAACCAGACCCGCAGAGGACACACACCTGTGGTCGAACATTCTTTTCAGCTCAAGCCTCCTGAGGTATCCCCTGCACAAAGCCTGGGTCCGTGTGATCAGCTGTCCTAAGCAATCATCTCGCATCTCTTCCAGGACACCCAGCAAACCTGCCTTGAAGAACACCTGCAGCCAAGGAACAGAGCTCACTCGTGGCTGGGCTTGCATTTCAATGCAATAAATGATTTCTCATTGCATGGCAAAATTAAACATTTACCTTAGTGTGTCCAAACTTGTACTGAGTGTGATCTATCTCAATGGAAGACAGCAACTTTTCACATGCCTTCTTGCTGTCAATAAACTTTCCCTCTGGAATGACACCGGCGTTCAGAAGGCGGTATCTGACAAAATAAAGGAAAAAACCTTACCCATCGGTATCATTTTAGTGCACAGGATGCCACAAGAACAGCTGTCAGTTTGAAGTTACAGAGGAAGGCTGAGTCTGACTCACACCTCCAGCCTCAAATAGCAAAGCAGTAAGAAAAGCAGCAAATAACAGCAGGTCAGTTCAGTAGGATCCAAGGATGTCTTACAGCCCTCACTGAGACTGAGGGATTGGATGGTCTGTTCTCTGGACCTGAGAGACTCTGCTCATGTGTGTCACAGTCATTATCACTATTCTAGGGGGACAGCTCACTGGGTTAGCTGTAAATTCAAAGAATGAATGGATTTTAGGAATAGGGGAACTGCTGCAGTTAATCTGACTTCCTGTATAACCCCTACATAGTGCTCCCAGACCCTTGTTCATTCAACCCTCTTGTGATTAGGCTAGTATGTATTGGGGAAAAAAAAATAAAATTCTATCTTATCTGAAGCCTTCAAATCTTGGGAGAGTCCCAGGTAAACTATTCACCCTCACTGTAGGAAAGGTAATATTTCACTTCTACCTTGACAACATCCTCTTTCAGGTCATGCCTTTGGACTCTGTAAGTTTTTAGCAAACAGCTTCCTGCTTTACATCCTCTTTACATCTGTAGGTTCTCTACGCCACAAACAAACCATCTGTTAACATTCAATTTCATGAGTTAAATAGAATCACAGAATTGTTTGGGTTGGAAGGGACATTAAAAATCATCCCGTTCTATCCCCTGCCATGGGCAGGGACACCTTCCACTATCCCAGGTTGCTCCATCCTGGCCTTGAACCCTTCCAGGGATGGGGCAACCATAGCTTCTCTGGGCAACCTGTGCCAGGGCCTCACCACCACAGTTTGATTTAAATTTCTCCCTGCACTTAACTTCACATTTTCCCTGTAGCTCTTTTCTGAACCATATCCATCTTCTCCTGTTTCTCCTGAAGCATGGAACCCAGAATTAGACATAATATCCAGCAATGGACTTCCTAATCCTACACTGAAAGATTATTTCATCCCTATTGTTTTGACAAATCTGCCCACCCACATCACCCCCCTGGGCATTTTTAGTGCCCCAGATACCAGTTCAGCCCTTCTCAGTGTCCTGCTCTCCAGCACAACCCTGCCCAGAGCTGTAAGGGGGAGGGTGTGTGTGTGTGATTTCTTTGTTGTTGGAGATCTGACCCTACATTTGCCTTTGTTCAAACACAACGAACAGACAACCCCAGCTGAGTTGCCCTGAATTTAGCAACCATTAAAAATGTCTTATTTGCACAGCAGTTCCCAGGTTAAGATTCTTTGCTTGTGGGGTTTTTATCTCTACATTAATGTGCTAGTGCTGTAGAAATGTCAGCACATAAAAATGATAGCTCAGTACAAAATGAGAGGGCCATGTGGAACTAGCTCAGATGTCCTGCTCAAGTCCCTTTTGTTACTACAGCCCTATTTGCCAGTCAAACTTGGCATTTCATCAAAAAGTGGTATTAGGTTTAACACAATTTTCTCTCAGTGAAACCACTCTAGTAAGAATTATTTAAACTACATTCTTCAAACATCTACTAGATAGTGGTTAAATACAGGATGTGCATTGACCACCCTCTGTATTTTTGCTGAAACAAGCTTGTGTCAAATTTGAGAATTAAAGCAAAGATTCAGATGAACATGAATGAACTTGAAAACAGGTTTTGGTGTACAGTATTCAGGAAGATGTGCGGGTGGGCACTGCCCACACAGACCATGCTATTAGATGTGTCTTCATGCTTTTCATAGTTGCTAAATATCAAAGTAGTTCTTTTCAACTATCTTTTCAACTGTATCATTGACTGGTTTAGCAAAATTCTTCTCTCAAATGAATTGGGCTTGATGCAAACACAATAATGCAATTACAGACCTTTGTTTAAAATCCCCATATGGAATCCTGTTAGGAAATCCTTTCCTGCAGATCCGAATGCCTTCCAGGACTCCGTTACACCGCAGCTGGTGCAGAACGAGCTTGTGATCCATGAGGCCTGTGACAGAGCACCGTGGGGATGTATTAATGGGTTCAGCATTGGCCAGCTCCTCTTTCTGCCCCTTTCTAATCTGTGTTTTATGCATTACCTGGGGTCTTTGTTTCATTGGGGATGATGCAACGCACAAAGTGAGGATGAGTTGTTCTCAAGTTGGACATCAGCTTGTTTAGATTTTCCTGTAAAACAGAGATCATTTGCAATCTCTGTGTTACTTCAGTTCTCAGTGTGATTTGACTCTGATGAAAATAAAAATTCAGAAGTTTTTCCTTACTCCCCTAGTGAATATTCTACGATTCTGTGTAAGCATCAGCAAAGTAAATGGCTACTAACAGTGGATACAATTGGAGAACTTTCCTCCTGTCTTAAAATGAAAACGTGTCCATCAGTGGTTCAAGGCTGATCATAAGAGCTCTTAAAAAGGACCAGAATGGAAGAAAAGGAACTATATTCTGGGATACTGTATATATATATATATATAGTCTTTTTTGATCAAAAGAAGTATTGATCAAATAAATGAATGGGTTAATTACTTGCTTTTATTACTTAGATATATTAGTTACATATATTTAAAATATAATTGAGCTACAAAATCAATGTTTGTCTATGACATCAAAAGTCACCTGTTCTGCAGGGTAGTGCAATTCTTTAATCATCTCATGCAAGAATGACACACTGTGAGTGTGGCCCATGTCCCAGCCAGGGGATGATGCACTCTTCATCCTGCCAGGAAGGGACCAGCCTGCTCCTGGCCTCAGGTGTAGATGCATCACAGCAGCATCAGGGCTGCAACACGTAACTTGGGTTACCCACACTTTCTGCAAGGCACTGGCTGCCACACAGTGTTGTCACACATGCTGGAAGAAGCCACTGACAGCCAAAGAAGGGAAGGATGTTGGTAGGACCAAAGGGCAAAGCCAAGACAGCTACCCATGCTGACAAAGCACATGACCTCCCTTCTCCATCAACATGCCACTGGACCTCAGCAGCAAATCAGAACTCAACCTTTGCCATATCCCAAAGGTAACTTGCCACAGAGTGGCCACAGAGAAAGTGCACTGGTGATCCTGTGCAGCCAGGGGTGACAGCACTGCCCTCCCAGCAGAGAACACACCTACCCGAAAGAGCACAGACACAGTCTGGAAGGAAGAGCCCTTTTTCTTGGTTCCTTTCGTCTTTCCACCACCTTCAGCTGGAAAATGAGACGACAGTCCAGCTGCAGATCCCTTTGACAGTGTTATAATTGTGTGTCTAATACACAGCACTTGAGCACTGGCTCAACAGTGACTCAGGTCAGATGACAGGTACAGTAGGAACAAGCATAATCCTCGGATCTTACCTTCATCTATGGAAGCAAAGGCAGCATAAAGATGGCATAAAACCTTCACAGATGATTTCTGGTACAGCCCAATGACAGTTTCATTCAGGGGGTCCTTGTTCTTCTCCAGCCACCCAGTGATGTTGTAGTCCACTGTGCCAGCGTAGTGCACCAGGGAGAAGTGGGCCTCAGCCTTGCCTTTCCCAGACTTGGGCTTCTGGAAGTTGCTGGACTTGCCCAGGTGCTGGTCATAGAGCTTGTTCTTGAAAGAGGTGTCAGTTGCCTTGGGGAACATGCACTCCTCTTCCAGGATGGAGAAGATGCCCATGGGCTGAATAGAAAAAGGGTATTTTCAAATAAGATTAATTCAAGTTGTAATTATACAGAGTGAAAGAAATGCTAAAATTAAAGTACTGGAGGTATTTTACAGAGAATTAGCTTGGGAGGAGCAGGCAAGCAAGATTTGTTGTGAACAGTTTGCAAGATATTCAAAAACACTCAAAAGATTTTCATAAATAGTTTTGAACTACACAGACAGTGTCTGGAAAACAAAAGAAGCCAAGCAAAAACTGTGCAGTAACTTCTTAGAATACAGTAGTGAGTTCTCCTTATACAGGAGGAACAAAAAGCAAGCAGACATCAGGCTCTGAAGGAGGGAGGGAGGGAAGGAAGAAGGGAGGAAGGGAGAAAGGGAGGAAGAAAAGAAGGAAGGAAGGAAGGAAGGGCAAGCAGTGTCTTTTTAGAAGACAGAATACATTTGCAGTCAGTAGATAATTAATCACAGAAGTGATGTTTAAAGGAACAGAGGAGGTGAGGAGACCTGAAAGTTTCACAGGGAGACTGTGTTGAAGGCACTCAGTGCAAACACTGTCAAGAATCCCTTCCAGATCCAATTTGTGTGAGTGCCAAAGATGCTTAAGAAACTCACCTTTTCTATAAGCTCAATGCAGGCAGCCAGGTCCATCCCAAAGTCAATGAACTCCCACTCAATTCCCTCCTTCTTGTACTCCTCCTGCTCCAGCACGAACATGTGGTGGTTGAAGAACTGTTGCAGCTTCTCATTGGTGAAGTTGATGCACAGCTGCTCAAAGCTGTTGAACTAATATTTGAGTAAGTGTTTTAGTAATATTAAACTGCCTCCAATCAATTTATTTCACAGAGATGTCATAGCAGAGTCAGCCAGGCTGTCTCAGAAGGGTTTTGATAACAGCATAAACAATATACCATGGGTGATCCAGGCTTACAGACAAGTTGCTGTAGCCTGCACTGGCCATGTTTTTGGGTGGCCCTAATGTCACTAAATGCAGATTCTGTGGGGAGGGGGACAGTAGATTCATGGCTATGCTTCTGCCATGTCTCTTCTCTTACAAAGTGGGTGATGGATTACAAAGGCAGAAGTAGCTTCAGAGAGATTTGCCCTGTTCTTGAGGTCTGCATTGGGATGAGGAAGAGGAAAGGTCATAGAAGTCAAACAAATGAAAAAGAATTTAAAGACAACCAGAAGTCTGAGAGTGCTGTGTAAAATCAAACCTCAAAGATCTCAAATCCAGCAATGTCTAAGACCCCAATAAAGTGCTGCCTTGGCAGCTTCGTGTCCAGCTGTTGGTTGATGCGCATCACCATCCACAGGAAGAGTTTCTCATAGACTGACTTGGCAATGGCATTCACTGCCTGGTGCACCTGCAGGGAGATGGTTCACACACCTCTGTCAGGGCACAGCCAGTGCCTCACCAGAATAAACCCCCTCAGTGTGCCCAGGTTCACAGCCCACACCAGCACTAACAGCCCTTAATGGTCCTGACCATCTCAGCTGTGACCTGCACCCATTCCTTCCCTTAGGCAGAGGATGGGCCCTGCTGCTCCTTGACACTCACCTGATCCACTGTTTGGCCCTTCAGGACATACTCGTTTCCCACTTTCACCCGGGGATAGCACAAAGCTTTCAGCAAGTCTGCTGAGTTCAGGCCCATCAGATATGCTGCTTTGTCAGCCTCTGGAAAACAAAATCATAAGCCAAAATACTTTTTTCTTAGCTTGGACCTACAGAGTGCATTGGAACCAGCCAGAGTTCACTCTGAAACCTGCAACCTGGGTGGCTTTAGCCCATCCACAATGCTTGACTGACATTTTCATTTACTCTTCTTACTTGTAGAGCTGGTCCTTGTGATGGAGTGGCTACAGCAGCCCCAATTGATGTGGTGAAACCTGGGAGGGCATTGGTAATGGGGCAAGAGTGGTTTTCCCTTCAAGCCACTTCTCCACAATGTCACCCAAGGAGAACAAGTTTGGATGTGAGACCAGAAACTGGTGAACACTACAGTAATAATATGTCCTAGGCACAAGGTCCTTCAGCAGAGTCATCAGGAATAAAGTGGATGCAGAAAGTGACCTTACTAGAGCTGGTAAGCTGAAAGCCAAACCTTTTTTTTTGTGGTCAATAGGGAACAACTGCATCTCTCCTGGAAAACTCCTGTCATTTCTAAAAAAAAATGGTATGGAAACCAGTTGGAAGTAAATAGTTCTCTCCCAGCCACAAAGGTATTACCTTCAGTGCCATCTGGTTCTGCTTGCTCCTCACGTGGTTTCTGCTTGAACTTCATGTTCCCGTAGTGCAGGATTGCCCCTGTCAGTTTGTAAATCCCCATTCTCTCATCAGGGCTGAAGCCCAAAATGCCAATGGCTGCCTGCACACCAGATAGATCAGCTGATTATAGCAGTGACAGTAAGAGTGAGACTGTCTCTCCTCATTAACTGTACCCACATCTGTGGCAACAAGCTCCTCCTGGTCATCAATGCTGGCCACAGAGATCTGCCCTTGGCTGATGAAGGGGTAGTCGTATGGGTTGGCTGTGAGGAGAAGCATCTCTGAAAGGCAAACACAGGAGTGAGAGCCAGAGCTTAGCAAGCAAGATGGAACAATGGCTCAGCAAGATTTCACAATCTCTCCTTCCTTTTGCATCCCAAACTCTTGCTTTTCTATTAAGAGACAAGAAAGACAGAGGAAAACCATTCATCTGCCTTCCACGGGATAAGCAGTCCTTCCAGTTTAACATGTTGTGAATGGGGAGCTGAGCACTGGCAGACATGGAACAAGGGCCAGCCACACAAACACCTTTTAGAAAAGATGCTTTTAGGTAAGACTCGTACATAGCACATACTGGTCCATCCTGAATGCCCTTGCACCCAGTGGGGCTGTGTGCTGGGCATGAGTAACTCACACGTGTGTTCATCTCCCTCTAACTGAGGCCAAAATTCCCAAATCATTTTCAATCCTGAATGCTATGGCAGAATAAGAGGGGAAGGGAAGGTGTGCAGCTGTGCAGGGCTCTGTGCAGGAGGGGAGCCTCAGTACACTGAGGGTAAATCTGTCTGTGTCCTTGTACAGACCTGAAGTCCCTGGCACATCAGTCTCCCTAGGAAGGGAAGGGCAAGGTTGTAAATGGTGGGAGGGCACAGAACGGGAGGTTGGGAGCAGGAGCTCCACCTTGGAAAATATTCTGTGGATATTTGGGAGGGATGGGAGGAGTGGACTGATAGTGAGTTCAGTAGCAAAATGGTTTGGGACAGATGTGGGGCATGGGTAGGGAATGCCATGGCAGTGGGAAGAGGGAAAAGGTCAGAGGGATTGTACTGGAAACAGGGAATAACTTTTGCCCATATGATGAAGAGTTCAGATAAATGGTAAATGTAGATCACAGTATCTGGCCATCCTGTACCCAGAATTGCTTACCCTTTCTACTGACCATTATTCACAGGGTCTGGCCCATCTAAGTTGGAATTTCTCCAGCAACATGAACAGCAAGGTGCAAGGCAGAGCACACTGGTCAACCCTCTACCTCACCTGCGCACAGTTTGCATTAGAACTTACCCAGGGAGAATAAATGGGAGGTGGAGCAACTCCGAGTGTTTCCCTGTCACACGGAGACACCAGTGCTGTGCTCAGCAGGGCCTGGCCAACACCGTGATGGTGTTGTAAAGGGATGTAAATAAGCACATGTCCAAAGTGTCCCTGCTCTGCACAGCCTGAGGCACTGCCAAAGGGGGACCTGGGGGCATGTGACAGATGGCACCAGGTGCCACTGGACCCTCCATCACTGAGCTGGCATGTCGAGGGAAATGTTTCCCACAGTGACTTTACCTAATGTCACCAGGTGATGGTTGTCCTTACCAAGCAGTTCAGGCTTCTTATTGGAGAGGATCTGGTAGAAGATATGGTAGCTTCTCTCAGCTTTCAGCTGGAAAGTGACTCTCGACTTTTCCAGCAGGTCTGTAATATGTATGCATAGAAATTGTTCAGGCTCTTTGCCTTCCAGCACAGCAGTCAGCCCCCCTCAGTCACTCACAGGTCTCAATGTCACCGGAGGCCAGTTTTCCAGAGGTTCCAAAATGGATACGAATGAATTTACCCTGGCAAGCAGACAAAAGGTAGTGGTCAGTGCAGCAATCTCTGTTTTTCTCTCTTGAGTCTCACTGACAGCATCTCCAAATCAGTCTGAATTAGCTTAGATATCCAAATCTAGATAAAGGGAAACAGTTTGCTCCAGCCCACACAGCTGTGAGCATGAAATAGCTGCAAACACATCAGCATCTCACAACCAACCCGGAAAATTGGTCAACAAGAACATTTTTCCCAGCGCAGGGGCTCTCAGTTGCAACTAACAAGCAAGTAAAGAGCATTAAAAATGCAGGAGGGCAGAGACAGACACAGGATGACTCACAAAGCGTGAGGAGTTGTCATTTCTCACGGTCTTGGCATTCCCAAAGGCCTCGAGCAGTGGGTTGGCACTGAGGATTTGATCCTTGAGCGTACCCTGCAAGAAAAATTGAATAATTATTGAAAAACACTGTGAGCTTTGTGGTAGGAAGAAGTGACTCTATGGCATGATTACATGTGCAGCCACGTGCCCTTCATTTCAGCTGTGAGGTGCTACTGCAGCACCTTCTCGACTCAGTGCCACGAACCAGCATGGGGGTAAATGGTGAATGAGCCATTTGCCTCTTATTAGAATTGGTCTCATTGTCAGAGTTCTCAGGTCTCAGCCACAGGAACAGACTGATCCATGTGAGAAAACCTCTGATTCTTCCCGGACAGCAATGGCACAGTCCTGGTTTCAGTCCAGGTACAGCTACACCTGTGCAGTGGCAGTGGCAGCTCCAGCGGCTTGTATTTGTTGTGCTCGTATCTGCACATCAGCCCCTGGTCCTGCTGCCCCAGAGAGAGTGACTGAAGCTAATATTGAGGGAAATGGTTGTCACCAGTGCTGTCCACAGCCACAAGTGGACATTCTGAACTGCCCCTTGCCAACCCCTCCTCCTCACACCTTCATCCCAGACCCCTTCCTCACGGCTGGGTCCCCGCTGGCTGCAATGGTGGCGTAGTACTGGATGACACGCTTTGTGTTCACAGTCTTCCCGGCACCGGATTCTCCACTGTTGAAAGAAAGCACAGAGTGAAGAAAAATCCAGCCCCTTTTTGCTGGACACAAAGGCCAAAGTGACAGATGCACTTACGTGATCAGGATAGACTGGTTTTCACGATCTGTCAAAGGGAAAAACACCTGCAGTCAGAGAAGCTGCAGGGAAAAGTGCTGGTTCTCAGGCAACTGTGACCTGGTGTCCATCAGAGGGAATGAAACAAAATCTCAGCAGGCAAAACTGAAAAGGTGCATGGTCTTCTCTCCTCCTCTCTTCCCCTCTGTATACGCCACTTTTTGTCTTCTCTCCTCCACCTTTGCTCCATCTTGCAGTCTTTCTTGTTTCTGCCTTTACCATTTTTTAACTTTATTGATATTTAATATGGGACAGGACTTTATTCAAACTAAACCCATGTATTTTGGTGAAAATATTTCTACCATCTCTGTTCTGAATCTACCTGCTGTTGCTTGAAGCCACATTCAGGTGTGCTGACTAGGGACTTCCCAGGTACTGTGTCCTATCCAACTGCAACTGCCCTTTGCAGAGGTCCCTGTTATGGTCCTTAGCTTGATATTTAGACCAGGAACACAGATAAATGGGCAGCACAATAGCAGATGCTTCAAAAATAAAGAAAATATTTCAGGAGACAGGGAAAGCTGTCTGGATCAGGTTTTACATCATCCAGAGTTAAAATAGTTCCACAGTAGCTCAGAGACTAAGCAGATAATCTACACCCAACCCAAGGAGCTGGGGTAGCACCCTGCAGAGGTGACTGAGCCCACGGCAGCAGTGGAATGGCACTTGGCAGAACTGCATTTCTGACAGTTTTTTCTATGAACCTGATCAAAATAGAAGAACTCACCAGTCAGCATGAACTGATAGGCGTTGTCAGAGATGGAGAAGATGTGTGGAGGGGCCTCCTGGCGCTTCTTGCCTCGGTAGGCCAACACCACCTCCGGGTTGTACACGGGCAGCCACTTGTAGGGGTTGACAGTGACGCAGAAGAGACCCGAGTAGGTCTGCAGGGAAAAAATGGAACAGAGGAGTCACTGAAGTCCAGCTCTTGTGGCTGTGTTTTCTGCTTTGGAAGAAGAGGGAACTTACATAGATCATCCAGGAGCTGTAGCGGTCCTTGAGGTTGTACAGCACAGCGGGTTCATGCAGGTGGGTCAGCATGGCCACGTCCTCAACTCTGTCAAACTTGGGTGGGTTCATGGCATACACATCATCAGGTTTGACAGCAACTGTCTATAATTCAGAAAGAAAGAGTGAACCTTGATTCAGCAACTCTGCACAGTCCTTTCTTAAGTACACACTGAGACACAGAGAAGTAATAACATCTGTAAGGCTGCTCTAATTCATATTTTTCTTTCTGTTTAACTGTGCAAAGCAGGATATGGCTATTTCAGGACAAACACTGCTGCCAGCCAGGAGCTCTACAATACTGGCAAACTGACACCATGTACATTTACTGTCCTGGAACTGCTACAAGCACAAAGACAGGATTTCTGCTGGACCAGATCTTTCTACACATTATTGCTGCTTATGAACTTCAGGTCTTCAGCACAAGATTCATCAAGAGCAAATCCTTCTTTAGGACAGGCTTGTTCCACTCCTGTCTGTGGCCACTCCTAATTAAAGAATGGCTCTATCTCTTCCAAACAGCACCTTCTGCTGGGCTCACACTGTGGGTGACCGCCCCCTCACACAGCCAGAGCCTGTGGAGATGGAGGAGAGGCAGCAGATGTACAGGAAAGCAGATGTTCACAGCTGATAGCAGCTCATCTCTGAACCATGAAAGAGCTTGAAAATCCTGCTGTAATTTATTCAGCTGATTTATCCCACTGTTTTTATCCATTGCTGAAATTGTTGCTCCCATGGACTGGTCCAAGCTGACTAGTCCAGGGCAGGGAAGAAATAGTGTGGAGTCATATTTGATTCAGAAAGATAGAACACTACTTCCTACCTCAAGTCCTGACTAGTGGAATGGTCTTGGACTCCTTTGAGAAAGCAAGAATTACAGGCCCAGTTTTCAAAAGCAGTTTTGTGATTTGTATCCCTAAATACCTTTCTAAAGCATTCAAACACCTGAGCAATTAGGACTCTCAGGAAGTCTCCATATAGAACAAGAGATTGTGCATTAACTGCTCCTCACAGCACATACCTGGGAGTCACTACTAACACAAGGGTAGCTCAGTGCTCAGGAGAGGGTAGGAAGCTCTAAAATATTAGGAATAGTTAGAAAAGAAAGGGAGAAAAGAAGGGAGCATTATGTAGGATGTGTCCATCAGTTCATTCACAGCTTCATTACTGGTCACACCTCTTAGAAGGGACAGAATTGCACTATAAATGCTCCAGAGAAGAGAAACAGAGACGGTCACAGATATGAAATGGCTTTTCTGTGAGGAGAGTACAACTTGAGAGTTTGGGGGTGAAAAGGAGATGCTTTCAAAGTTTGCAAAGTCAGGAATAGCAGAGAGAACCACGGCCATAGCAAGGAAGAATTAGTCTCTTCTACTCCTTGCGAAAGGAAAGATAAGGTTGCATATAGCAAAGGAAGGACTTTACACTTACTCCAGTTTTAAACTGTGGAAATCTTTCCCACAGGCCACTACAGAGGCAAAAAGCCCAAATGGACATAAAATAGTCAGGCCCTAGGAAAGTAGGACCTTGTGCATCTCAGCCTGGTGCAGGCTCAGTCACTTCCCTGAGACTGCTGTGGATCACTGCTCACCCTTTACTTGCTTTCTGAAACTCTTGTAGCACCTACTGCCAAGATGTTGGTCGAGGTGGTTCTTTGAGCCTCTGCAGTTCTTGTTACAAAAGTTGTCAGGACATGAGCTGCTATGACATTTCAGTATTTTTGGAAGAGTAACACCTTGGAGGTTCCTCTGGGAAACTGCAGCCAGGGACACTGACAATTTCTGATGCAAAAGGGACTTTCAGATTCTCTGACTGCTCTGCTACCAGTAAAGGAAAGAATTTATCAATGGCTATGACAGCTAAGAAAGTGTTAAAGGCAGTGGTTGAGGAATGCCAAGACTGGCAAGGCAATAACCCAACCTGGCTTGGAGCATTGCCTGCTCTTTAAAGCCCACACCAAGAATAATTATCCAATGAATAAGTTTATCCCAGCATCCAGAGCTATGCTTTCCTCTGGAGGCTGTGCTGGTCCCAGTTGGAGGGCAGAGCAGGGCAGATTTCTTGCCTGAGCTTCCCACGTTCCTTGCCCTCCTCAGCAGATGCCCTGGGTCCCTCAGCAGGGCCAGGAGAAATTCACTTACTCTGCCATCCTCTGTCTCCACAGTTATCTTCCCATCCTGGGCAGCCTTGATCTTCCCTTTGGTGTACTCCACCTCGGGGTCAGCCACAAAGCAGTAGGTCTTGGCATCAAATGGCTGGTTCTGGGCTTCTATTCTCTCCTTCTCCGACTTGCGCAGGTACGGCGCCGCCTCCCCGAAAACCTCCATGGCAGCGTCTCTGCTCAGGGCTGCAGATGAAAGACACACCCTGTGCTGGTCCCCTGGGCACTCCTTAGAGCAGAGCGAGCATCCACAGCCCTTCCCAGCTGTCTGCTCTGAGCTCACCCTCCCAGCCTTCACCTGCTGCAGGTCTTCAGGGAGATGTTTGCCTTTCAAAGCTGGAATGTGAAAAGGAGTTGCCACCCTTTATGGCCCCAGGGAAAGGAAATCCATGCCCAGAGGAGCAGGATCTCTCCCAGTGGCAAAGGGGAGGGATCTCCAAAGGATTAACATAGTTCTTAGAAAAAGTGAAGCCCTGAAGACCATCTTTCTCCTAGTTTTTCATTTATGACTTCCCCCACTCCTTATTAACATGGAGCCTGTCCTAGTCCCCTGCTGGGCAGCCACACCAGGCAGGAGTGGACACGAGCAGCTCATGCAGGAGGAAGAACAGGGACCTGTCCATGGTGAGCACAAGGGAAAAATCAGCTCATGCCAGCCTGGGCAAGATATTAGTTTTCATGCCTTAAATTCTCACCTTAACAATCAGTCAACAGAAAGCAGGAAGGAAAGGGCTGACATCTCAGATCTCTGCAAGAGAAAGAGTGGAAGGTCAGACTTCACCAAAGCTGCACCCTCTCCAAAGGCCTGGCACCCTCACCTACTGCAAGCACCCACACCTGCTGAGGCACCCTTCCCTGCCCCAGGAATGGCCCAGCAGGGAATCCACAGCAGAATTCCCACTGCAGCACTAAAGCCTTATGAAACTCCAAGCACAGGGAACAGGACCCATGTCAGGAGCCCTCTGCCACTCTGCAGGTCAGTCACAGCATGACCACAGGCATGGCCAGGACATCAGGAGCCACCAAGGGCTTTCTCCCCGACTGCTTTTATAGGCTCAGCCTGGTGCTCTTGGTTCAGCCCCATCCCTATATTTGGGAGGAAGGGATCGACACTCCTGCCTGCCCACAGTTCGTGTTTGTTTTCTGCCATACACAGTGTGTAAGGAAAGGAGCTGCTCTTTTTCCAGTTTTAGTAACTCTGCGACCTACCTGTGGTTTGCAGACCTTTTGTTGTGAGAATTTCCTCTCCTGGGCACATGTTCTCCTGCCAGCTATGACCATGGCCAGCACTTCCTTCCACTGTCACCCATATCTCAACAAAATAACAGTGCAGAAGGGACCTGCCTCCCTGCTCCTGCTCACAGGATGCCTGGGCAGAGCTGCACAGTGCTCAGGGAACCCAAAGCAGCCCTGTGTGGGGTGGAGAGCAAGGCCATGGAAAGGAAAAAAGGTGATATAGGATCAGTTATGGCAACTCTTGTGGCTTCCCGTCACTGCAGGGGTCAGGGAGGAATGGACAAGAGGCTGTGACTGATGTATGATGTGACAAACCATGGCAAAATAGAGGCTAGTCAGAAAGAACAACACCCAAATCTTACCAGGGATGGACAGTTCATGAATGCCAAACCATGAATATGGTACAGAAATGTAGCTCCAAATACAATTTTGGCTGCCCAGGATGTTCACTGCTCTTGCTGCTAAAAGGAGCTGCAGAAGCCTCATCACATTGATCTAGGAAGGTTCTTATACATGGATGATTGCAATTCCCATGTGAGAAGGATATGGGTAAGGGGACAAAGTAGCCACAAAACCACTGAGCACTGCCCCCTTTGCCAGCCTGCTAGGACAGTAACAGCTCTGCTCAGTCCTGAGCACTGGAGACCCAGAGCAGCACTTTCACCTGAATCCCTGGGGCTGCAAGCTTGGCTGTGCCTGGGGAAGGCACAGCTGTGTGCAGGAGAAACAGGCTGAGCAAGGACACACTGCACCTCTGCAACTCTGACTGGGGCAGCTCAGGCAGTAAGGCCTGGCCACGACTCAGTCATCCCTCTCCCTTTCCCAGAGCAAGGCTGTGCCACAGGCTCCTCGGACCACGCTGCCAAAACACCCTCGAATCTACTTCAGCCAATGTGGGTGCCCTGAAAAGCACAGGAGAACAGTGAGAAAAAGGGAGAAAAATACACCTGCAGCAAAGTTCTCCAACCCTTCAGGAGAGGCTGGGGGACAGGCAGGACTTGTAGCTGAGCTCTCCCATCTGAGGGCAGCACAGCCAGGCTGCTGCTGGGGTACTGCCTTCCTGTCCTAAAAGCCTGTGATCCCAGGTGCACACTTCCAGTGAGATCAAGCCTTCACTGACTTTAGCAAAACCAGCAAAGTTGACTCAAAAACTCTTGAAAAGCAGGTATGAGTTCCCGGGGGCCACAGTGGGGTTTGAAGGGAGGTCTCCCAGTCCCAAACACAGTTTGGTTGGTACAGAGCAGCCAGGCAATGACTGGCAGGAGCAGTGGGAGCTCCATGCACAGATAGAGCTCCTGGTGCAGGAGAGGAAGGATCTCTCTTCTGGTCACCTTCTGTCACTGCTCAGTAAGCCCCACTTTCTCTCTGCTCTGCATGGATGCTCATCCAAGGCTGCAGCACCAGTTTTCCCTCAGCAGAATGAAGCCTACAGGACTTGTGTGAAGCCAGAAGCCCACTGTAAATAGCTCCTGCCACCTCCCAAAGCACCCTGGGACACCTGCAGCACAGGGGACATCACTTGTCTTTCGGCCACAGTGGCTGACACTGCTTGTGTTTGCCCAACAAGAACTGACCTTGTGGGTTTGCAGCAGAGGCAGTCACCAGCGTTTTGAAAAACATGTTCCATGTTGCCCGTAATTTCATTTAAGGTCATTAAAATGGACACCACAGCCACATATCTCATGAACTATGAATTCCTAGAATCCCTCTAAGCCTGGAGGATGAGGGAAAAGCTTTTTTTAGCCCTCATCCCTTGTCATCAGCCCTTTGAACTCAGCACAGGGGATGTACTGAGAGCAAAAACTGAGACACACCAGACCAATGAGCAGTTGGGGACGTTTTCCTAATACTGAATTGCCAGTGTGAATCACCAGCGTTTTGAAAAACTTGTTCCATGCTGCCCGTAATTTCATTAAAGGTTATTAAAAATGGACACCACAGCCACATATCTCATGAACTATAAATTCCCTGCACCGACACCATCCTGGTCTGTCTCTAACTCAGGGCCATCCAGTATATCCACAAGCTGCAGTATCACTTCATGTTCTCCCCAGCTTAGCAAGGGTTAGAAGCTGAAAAAAATACACAATAATCACCGTCCCTCCACCCCTGCGGGCACAGCCCAGCATGGGCAGCTCAGTGTACACAGCACAGCAGGGATGTGTAGACCTTTCCAAAATCAACCTGCTCTTACTTGTCACTGGAAATTACTAAAAAGCTTGTAGTTAAATCTACTGGGGTTTTCTCAGAAATATAAATTATCTAGATTGAAGCACTCTAAGGAAGCCCGAGGTGAGCGTCACTGCAGCTCTGCTTTACAGCTGCTCTTTCAAAAGTCTCTGGCACTAAAACCAACTGGAATGAAGCATAGAGATAATGTGCATCAAATTGCAACTAAAGCTAAACCATCACTGCAGCTAAGTGTCTTCTGACACAAGGAATGGTGCTCCTTGCTAATTTCTTTCTAAGGTTCACCAGCCTCTGGTTTCAATTCCTTTCAGCTTTTTGGGATATCAAATGCCTGGGCTGTCCTTGTTCCTGCCAGATGTCTCCAATGAAAGTTTTAATGAAAAATTTAGCACAATACATCCATGATTTCTGGGCCTGGGGCTTGGAGCACATGTACTGTAGGGAGCTGCAGTGGGCACATGTACTGTGAGAACAGGCTTAGATCTTTTCAACATGGACCCAAAACCATAAAAAAGTGCCAGTACCAGACTGATCTCCCTGCAAAGACCTTCTCTCTGATTTGGTCCCTAAGATCATGGAACCCAGAGCACCAACCTGAGGAACAAATAGGGAACAAATGGGGAACAAACCCCCTGCTGATCACCCAGTCCTTCCCCACAGACCCCACAGTGTCCCCACCATGCCCTGGGGTTGCCCCTCTTTTCCAGACACCTCCCAGACTGATGAGTGGCTCTGTGCCTCACTTCACAGACCTAGATTTGGGGGCAGGGAGTAGGAGTTTCACATCCCTGGGTCAGGTGGACACCCCAGAACAGCTTCCCATGAATGGAGTGGGAGAGGGAATGGTGCCAGGTCCCCTCTGCCCTGCAGCCAGCAGGATCTGGCCGGGTCAGGAGGCTCATCAGCTGCTGAGCCTGAACCAAGAGTCATGGTAGTGGAGCATCTGCTGCTTCTGTCCCAGCAACTGGTGAGATGCTCCAGAAGGGGTTGCAGGGATCACACACCAGTGCCTAACCAGGGGGCTGGTTCCTGCAACATGCCCCCAGTTATTATGGAAAATGAAAGAACAAATCCCAGCAAATTACCCCTCAAGCTCCACAGTTTCAGCGTGAGGGCTCCACCCTGACCATGACAAAGTGTCCGAGCACACACAGGCCATTTCAGAGGGCATGGGAGCCAAGGAATGAACAGACTGGGCAACATCCATTCCCAACATTTTCTTAGAAAAGCAAAACATACTTATTTCTTTGCCTCACAAGAGCTTGACAGGGAAAAGCAGCCTTTTTGTTTTACTTGCTGAGTGCCTGGATCTCCTTCCTTAGCTCAAAGCTCTGGAGTCCTGCTCATCTGGACTCAGTGCTACTGGTGCCCAGGGCCACTGTGCCTCCCTCCCCACCCACACAGTCAGAGGCAGTGCCAGCAGATTGCTCCCATGAACAGGCCAACTGCATTTGGGGTTGCTGCTCACTACAGGGTACAAGAGTGACCCTGAGCACCACTCCACCCCAGCCAGGACTGCTACAAGCTTGGGGTTTGGGCAGGCAAGAAATGATGTCCTAGGAAAAGAGTGTCCTTGGTGAGTCCCAGGCCAACAACACCGTCCTTCAGCTTCTCATGGCCACAGGGCAGTGGATCACCTTCCTTTGCGGCCAAAGCCTTCCTAGGGCAGTGCAGAAAGGCCCAGGGCACTCGTGTAGGTGAACATCCACTCACAAACAGCCCCAGAACAGCAGCTGCAGGTACATCTGTTGCTCTGTGCTGCCAACATCACAGAGCTGTCCTGAGGTGAAGGTCACAAGGGAGTCACCACGAGCCACATTGCCTTGCAAGGCTCTCTCATCACAGTGCTGCCAGGGAGCTTTCAGTGCTGCCCTGCATTCAGAAAAGGGCACTCATGGCTCAATATACCCCCACAAATTAAAGGTGGATTTACTGGTTGGTGTCTATCTATTTTTGCACAAAGAACTTTGGGAGAACAAGGAGGTTTTGTAAGCTGCAGCTGAGTAAGTTCCCTGGCATGCTGAAGGAACCTGCTTTATTAAACTAGTAATACACAGCTTAAAACATGGAATGAGCGGGCTCTTGTACAGAGGAATGAATGCAGTCATTCCTGCCCAGGTCTCCCCAGCACAGACCTTCATACTCCTAGCAGCACATACAACAGATGCAGAGCTGCTAGAAGTCAGGGGCTAGACAGCTTCCTTCGTTTGAACCAACCCAAACCTTTTAAATTCTTGTCCAGCAGACAAATAGTCAGCTTTTTGCCTTTCCCTGTAGGCCACCAGATTGCTCCTAAGGGCAATCCAGTAAAACTGACCTGCTTGTGAGCTCATGTGTGACAGCAAGGACTGTGGCCATTCTCCTGTAGCACAGATCACAATAAGTGCTTCAATCAGTACAGACTCACTGCCCCAAGGCTGGGGGGCTCCTGAGCAGCCCCAGCACACACTGTCCCACAGCCACAGCTACTCCAGCAGGGACTGGAAAACTTTGGCTGCAACCAGCAACCTCAGTGCATAAGGGCAGGCTGTTCCCACTCTTTTGACTCCTCAGAAGTCCGTGCATTGCTTCTTTTACCTGACTGAAACACAACCTGATTTGCAGCAAGGTGCTGGAGAGCCCAACTCAATGCAAGCAGCAAGGATGAAGTGGCTCTGGGTGGCTGCAGGAGGATGCTGAGTTTCAGCTTCCTGCACTGGCCAGAAAACTTTGTCACTGCAGCTCAGTGCCATGGTTCAGCAGTTCCTGACCTGAACCCTGAGTCTGCACCAGGGGAACTCCTGTGTGAGCAGCACAGCACTGCTCACCCCAGGAGAGGGGTCAGGGAAAAACAACAGGGCTGGGAAGAGCTTGGAGGGTTGCAGGGCCTGTGACAGCCACATGGCCAAGTGTCAGCTCAAGCACACACCTCGGTGTTCCAGGCACCCCACGGTTGTTCCCAGGTCTGTCTCATCACTTGGCCTAATGCTGGGTGGTTTGGTGCCCTCTGCACAACCTGCTCTGGCCTGTGCTTAAGGCAGCTGTGCCAGCAAAACCCCCCCTGCTGCCTCCCTGTAACCCCAATACCCAGGAACAGGGACCCGAGACACAAAAGCAGCTTCCAATCTATGAGCCCCTGCAAGAGGAACAGCAGAGCTGCCCTGAGCACTGCAGCCCTCTTCCCTGCCCTCTCTCCCTGGCACTACAGCTTGCCCCTCAGTCAAGCTGGCTGGTTTGTGCTTTGGAGTGGCTTGGAAGCGCTCTTGAGATTGTTTTTGTCTCAAAGAAGGTGCTGCTGGTGCAAATCTGTCCCAAGCAGGGCATGGCTGCTGACAGCTGGGCCAGCAACCCAGGAGCACCTGCAGGCCCAGGCCAGCAAGCCCCTGTGGTGACCCACCAGGCCCTGGAGGCACAGAGGGGCCCAGCTGGCATCGACAGGGATGGGAGCTTGTTTGGAGGCAGCAGGTAAATCCAGTGCTGTGGGAAATACCTGCCCTGAAATCTTCCTGGACAGTCCCTCCAGGGCACAGCAGGATGCTCTGGCTGGGGACAGACCCCAGGGAGTGCACAAAGCCCTGTGTGAGCACCCCTGAGCAGGGCAGCCCTCAGTGCCCCAGCACAGCTCCTGGGCAAAACCAAGCTCCTCTGGTACGAGCACTGAGGACAGGCCCAGACTGGCCAGCCCAGGGAGCCACAGCCCCTGCTGCACCCGCCTGCACAAGGGAGCTCGGCAGCTGCACATGGAGCAGATACATTCCTGTGTCACAGCCTTGTGATCCAGGTCAATCTCCTTATCATCAAAACTGGATTTGGGCTGAGCCCTTTTGGCCATCCCTGCAGGCACAGAGAGTATTTTCACACTGGGAATACACATGTCACAACAGAGTATGGAAAAATAAAACCTGATTTGGGTTTTGTCCAGATGACTGCGGACCAAGGCCCAACCTGTCTCCCACACCCTCTCAGGAGGTACCAGCTTGCTTTTCTGAGAGGTTTCTTCTTTAGATGCAGACAAAAAATAATGGAGATGGGGAAAAATACACACAGAAATATGTTTGGAGTACATCTCTGGGACTGTGCCTGGGAACAGTCAGTGTCCACTTATCATGAAGTAAATCACACCTGCCCATCCCAATTGCCTTTTGTGATGGAATGACCAGATCTGCAGCTGTGGAGAGAACAGCAGGCACTGACCAACCTCAGCTCCCAGAACCACCTGCCACAACACTGTTGTGTCCAGCAGAGGAGCTCATGGCCTGGCTGGGTGGGCATCCAGGTGGCTGAAGAACCTGGTTGGGCAGTAGGAGAGGGCAGTTGTTGATGGGTCATTTGCCTGGGGCAGTCCCTTTGCCAATCACATGGCAGAGGAAACACCACAGAGGCCAACATGGGGAGGGACAGCCAATACCTCTGGATCAGAGCTGCCAGAGGGATCCAGGCAGGCCAGAGGATGTGCTGACAGGGACCTTATGAAGTTCAACAAGGACTAATGCAAAGTCCTGCACCCAATAAGGAAAACATCCTTAAAAAAACACATGCTGGGACTGGGCAGGGAACAGTGTGACAATCTGAGATCAAGACAGTCAGGGACCTTGAGCTGGCCATCACATACAACACAAAGAGAGGAGGAGGGAACAGGGCTTGCCCAGACTGGGAAGGACAAGGCTTCAGGAGGATCTAACAGCAGCCTTCCCATACCCATGAGAAGGTTGTCAAGAAGATGGAATCAGTCTCTTCACCCTGGTAAAGAGGTTGAAATGAGAAGTTCAAACTGGATATAAAGAAAAATACTTGCTTTAGCAGGAAACATTATTTTACCCATCTAGAGAGGTTGTGAAGCCTCCATCCTTGGAGGTTTTCGTGCCTTAGCTGTTTAAAACTTAAGTATCCTGGTCTGGCCTTGCAGCTGCCCCTACTTTGAGCTGGAGGTTGGACTACAAACCTCCCAAGGGTCCTTCCTATCTGTGTTCCTCTATGATCTGAACTGAAAATGTAACACAGGGCTTTGCAGATGTTTAAAGCCACAGTCTCTGTACCTCTTCAGTCCCTGCCTGTGCCCATGCTGGTGCTGAGAAAATTCCTAAAACAGCCAGCTTCATCCAGGTGGCATTAGTATCACTCATTAGTTGAGCTCCTCCATGGCATGAGGAATGTGTTGCCTTCCTTGGGTAGACAAATGGAGTTGTTCCTCATTCCTCAGACATCTTGTCCCTAGCCCCAGCCTGGGATGGCACCAGTGGTAGGGATGTCAGCCACTCAGAGGAGATGCTGTATTGGTATTTTCCAGGACACATATTCTGGGGCCGGGAATGCCTCGGGCACACACAGCAGAGCTCTGTGGATTGGCCCCAGCCAGGACTGTGCTCTGTCCTCCCTCTGCCATGGGCACTCAGGGGTTCCCATTTGCCCAGGGTAGCACAGGTTCACCTGGCACAGCACCAGGCTCCAACAAATTTGGTTCCCACATGAAACTTGTCCTCCAGTAGTTTCCAGAGGGGAGACCCCCTTAGGGAGCCCGGCCCCCCCAGCCCCAGGCCAGTGACCAGCACAGCCCTGCCACAAACCTGCCCCTGCCAGAGCTGGACTCCCTCCCTGTGGGCCAGGCACTGTGATCAGGGCTACAGGGAATTTGGTACAATACCTACAGAGGGAGTTTGTCCCATTTCTAATACTGGGCTGGAGAAATGCTGAACATCCCCTGACAAAGCATCTCCAAGCACCCATAGTGCATTTCCCATCCCCCCCAACCAGCTCTGCCTCTCCTCCCACTGATCACCTGGCACAGCCCTTGGGCCTCCTAAACATGCAGGGAACAGAGTTGTGCTCCTTGTTGTCAGCAAGGCAGGGCAGTGAAATCCTAACACGTGCCTGAACAACATTTTTGTTGTTTTTAATTAACAAACAAAACTCCAAACAAATAAGAAACCAAATACCAAACGTCAACAACAAAACCAAAACCCCACAAACACAACAAAAAAACCACCCCACTATCAAAGAAAGCTTCCCTCCTGGGAAAGGCCAAGGGAACTATGATCAGCATAGTCAATATGAGAGGTAGAAAAAAGCAGGACATCCTGTTGGGAGGCAAGGGACACATCCCTCCATCCTACATCTCTCTGGGCCCTTCCCACACAACCCCAGTCTTCCTGGGTCAGCTGGCTCTGCCTCTCAGGTCACAGAAAAACAAGATAAAGGACGTGACACTTCTGCCAAAACATTTGGGAGAAATCAGGAACCCTGCATTTGTCTCTGTAGCCGAGTCAGCTGCAGATGAGCTTTAGGGAAATCAGTACAGATGGGGTGACCCTTCCCAGGCTGCAGCACATGAGCTGAGTCTGCAAAGCCTCGGGACAGAGGCACCCCTTGTCCCAATCCTGCTTTAACTTGGCTCAGCTGTAACACCAATTCTTTCTTCTGAGCAGGTGTTTCTGGCTAATTTGTTTTATTTTTACTTACCATTGCCCCATACAATCCTGGTTCTACACAGACTGTACCCTATGCAGAATAAGGTATTTGGCACTAACACACTGCTGCAATATTTGAAATACAAGCCTGCTGTAACAGCAGACCTTGAGAAGAGCAGGCAAAGGCTGCTGTGCAGAGCAGAGCCACAGGATGGTAAGGGATGGGGCAGAGACTTGGCCCTGAAGACTGCTGACACCAAGAACTCACAGAGGGTTGAATAAATACAGACCTGAAGGTGTCACTTGTGAGAGAGACCAAGTACCCAATGTATGTGAAAATACATGGGAGGGGTCATGTGGAGTCACAAAACAGAAAAAGGAGCATCTTGTGGTAGGACTGACTTCATTACAGAGCCAGCACTTGTTGCACAGATATGAGGTAAGCAGTAGCTGTTTAGCAGCAATTTACCATTATCCAGCAATCACAGAATCATACAACCAGCCAGGTTGGAAAAGACCTCTGAGATCATCAAGTCCAACCCTTGATCCACTACCCCCGTGGTTACTAGACCATGGCACCAAGTTCCTTCAGGAACTAGTCACTTTTCACTATTTCTTTCCTATTGCCAGTAACAACTGATCAGAACCTACTGCAGATCATTGTGGTGAGCAACAGGCCCTCTCTTGATATTTTTGCATGAGTGTCTCCTTTACATCAGCTAAACCCCCTCCCTCTAAACTCCTCCTGCTGTGGAGCCTGCACATGCCCCTTTGTGCTTCCCTTCCATGCAGACAGCAGAAGCACAGTGATTTTGGGGAAGGCTCGAGGAAACTGCCTTGCTTTTCATACCCTGGGAAACAGAGGGGTAGTCAGAGCCCCCAGACACCAAGGGAGGGTTCAGTGAGCTTTCACACTGATGTGGGAAGGAAGAAATGCCCACATGGCACAAAGACAATGCTGGCATGTCAGTGCCTGCTGCTGATGGAGATCCCCACGCTGCCACAAGAGACAGGAACCCAGGCCATGCCCTGTGCCTGGAGCAGGCTACCTTACAAACTCAAACCATGCCTCTACTCAGTATCAGTTACATAAAAGGCTTTTAAATAAATACACCCTCCCTCTCCCTTAGCCCCACAATCAACCCTCTGCACTTGAACCTTCAAAATAGTCTTTCCTACTTCTTTTGGAAGACAGATATGGCTGAAAAACAAGTATTATAAGTCTTTCCATTCCCTAAAGAGTCAATATCGAAATCCATCTTTTCTCCACAGGCTATGTTAAGTGCTTGGGAATAATTAGGAGAAGCACAGACTTCAAAGGGGCAAACAAAGACTCCTCCTGGATCAGCTGCTCCATTGCTTAGTCCCACTCCCACCATGTTTCCTACATCAGTATTTGATGCACATTGGCTGACAGGAAGCTCAGCATTCCCAGCAATGTTCACTGGCAGCCCAGACAGCCAACCATACCCTGGGCTGCATGAAGGGAAGCATGGCTAGCAGGTCAAGGCAGGGGATTCTGTCCCACTACTCTGCCCTGGTGGAGCTCCAGAGGTCTACAGCCCAGCTTCCACAGGACCATCAGCAGCAGGTCAAGCCATGGCCCATCAAGCCATGGCCCATCTTGTTTCAATACAAACTGGTCACAGCCACTTGCACAAGGAAATGCAGGGCCAAGAGGTGCCAAAAGTCAGCTCTGTAAGGGAAGTTGGGAAATTCGTTACCTCCAGGATTGTGGGGAAAAACAAACATTGAGGAAAGGGTCTTCTGAAACAATGCTGACACCTGCAAGCCCTCCATGAAAACGAAGTCATTATTGCCAGGGTACCACTTACCACAGACACTAATACCATTGATAACACATTGGACTTGACACACCCTCTTATTGATAGAAGAGTCAAGTGCGAAATTTCCTTTGGAACCACTCCTATTGCCTACTGCAATCAACCCAGCCAGCACAAAGAGATAAAAAACCCCCTTAATTTCCTTTTCAGTTGTTGAGGTTAAGCCTACCAGGACACTTTTTAAAAAAAAGTCCAAATGTAAACTGATTAAAAAAACACAAATTGCTTTAAAAGAAAAAAAATCCCCTTCTTTAAACTATGTAGTATTTGAGAGGCAAAGAAAAAAAAAATCCTATCTTGGAACTTTGGGAACCTTCCTTCCTTGAGAGAGCTTTACAAGAACTCCATGTGAGACATACTCTATCACAGCAACATTCCAGGCACCCTCAGGAGGCACCACAGTACGGGGCAGTTGATGGGGCCTGCACTACTCAGTTGTGGTTTAGAACTGCTCTGGAACAGGTCAAGTTTACTGTTTTTCACAATTTTGGAAAGACAGAAATTTTCCATGGACCTTGCACCTTCCCTTGGACAGGAATGTTCTCTCCCACACTCAGGAGAACACCAGTGCTACCTGCAGGAACACCTGTGTTTAGCCTAAGACACTCTGGGACTCACACCAAGAACTCTTCTGGTTTGTCTCCTGTGGGTCTTTTGTGGGGTTCAGCTGCCTTAAAAAATCACCTTGGGCTTCTGGTGTGCACGATGAGAAATAAATACTGCTTTTTAGAAAGAAGGAAAACAGAGCAAGAACATTAAGCTAGACTGGCATACAAAGTTGTGATGATATTCCAGGCAAACCTAACTAAGGAAAGAAAAATATATATTGCCTATACAAAGAAATCTTTATTTTCAAATGCTGCACTGCATAAAATGCATCTGATTGCCAGCCCTCTGCATGGACACAGCCCCCTCCACCCTCCTATTTCCCTGCTCAGCACAATCAGAGCAACTATGCACACAATCATTTACACCAGAAGAAAAACTTATTTGCAACCCATTTCTCTTTTCCTTATAAGTGAACAGTGTTCACCTGGAAAAATCAGCAGAAAAACCCTTTCATTTGTGCATTCAGATGAAGAGATCAGGCACACTACAGGGCTGGTCTCAGGCATGGAAACTGCCAGTGCTTTCTGTGCTCTTCACCTCCTTAACCTGAATAAAGGAGCACTCTTAAGGCTCTCCTGCTTGTAATAGTGCAACTGCCTCTCCCAGAAGGCAAGACAGTACAGAAAAAACAGAGGGCACAGCTCCTCTGAGAACGCCATGGCCCCATGGCTTTTCACCAAGCAATCCTCCTGCAGTGACCATCCTTTGCTGGTGCCTTGCCAAGAGATACCAGCTAATTTTACCAGCAGCACACACATTCTTCCCAAATGAAAAGTGCTATGAAAAGTGCTTTCCATTCTTTGCTCCCAACAATGATTCAGAGAAGTCCCCAATTTCACTTGGTAGCCTAGATCGTGCTGCAAATAATATCCACAGGGAAGGCTCTGCAGAGCTCTTTGGTAATGGCAATTTGCAGAAACAGGATTGCCTCTCGTTTGGAAGAAAGGAGGTGTGTTGTGACAGGATGTTACACTTGTGTGCTTCTGGTTTAACTCCAGTGTCCAACCACAGCCAAACCCACAGGTGATGTTCACAGCAATCATTGAAGACCTTGTGTTTTAGGATCTGTATTTTCTCATGTGTGCAGCAATAGAAGCGGAAATCTCGGTGCTCCTCTTATTCTGGCCATAATAGTCCACAAAGTCACCATCAGGCCCCAGGAGGTACATTATTATTGTGTGATCCACCTGCGAGAGAGCACAACACAGCTTGGTGAAAGAGATCACAGAATCACACACCACCAGGTCAGAAGGGACCTCATGGATCATCTGGTCCAACCTCTCTTGGCAAAAATACAGCCTGGACAAGATGGCCCAGGACCCTGTCCAGTCAAATTTTAAACTTATCCAATGTTGGGAAAACTGCCACTTCCCTGGGGAGATTATTCCAATGGCTGACTGTTCTCTTTGGGAAAATTTTTCCTCTTGTGTCTAACTGAAATCTCCCCAGGGTTAAGTTGTACCTATTGTGCCTTGTCTTTTCTGCATGACTCCCCCAAAAAAGGGAGCTTCCATCTTCTTTGTAGGCACCCTTTAAATATCGGAACCTCCTGCACTTCTGCGTCAGCAGCAGCAGTGTCTAGCTCAGCCTTTGGCAGCTGCAAACTTCTCCCCAAGAAGGTAAAGCAAGACAAGGAAAACCTCAGCATCACTGCTGCTCTTCTCTCAGGCACATGCTGGCATTGCTGGGGTGTCTGTGCAGGGCCAGGAGCTGGACTCATTGATCCTTGTGGGTCCCTTCCAACTCAGGATACTCCATGATTCTGTGATCACCTCAGGACCCCTGCTGGTTTTACCCAAGAAAATAAACAGAGAAAACTCGTTGCACCCTCAGAATGTGTGCAGAAATACTCTCAGCACACAAGTCTTGCTTAAGAGAGGGTCCCTTCCTGCAGCCCTAAGGCTGATGGTCTTCTCCCAGTTTCCCTCTGCTTCTCATGATGCTCTATGATGCCCACAAGGTATTCACGCTCCTGCTGCTAACAGAATGTAAATGCAATATAAACAGGAGTATTTTATTAAACCAAGCTCACTGCTGGCAAACAGCAGGATCCAGCACCTCACCGGGATGTGGGAGTGGAGCCAGGAGCGCCACGGGATACAGGGACAAGCAGGGCAGGGGCCCCCCCTGCTGGCCCCGAGACACCCTCACACATGGATGTCCCAGCATTCCCACCGGATTTATACCAAAATTACAGAATATGGCGAGTTGGAAGGGACCCACAAGGATCATCCAGTCCAACCCTCAGCCCTGCACAGCCTCATCCCCAAGAGTCACCCCCTGTGCCCCAGAGGATCATCCAAACCCTCCTGCAGCTCTGGCAGCCTTGGGGCTGTGCCCACTGCCCTGGGGAGCCTGTTCAGTGCCCAACCAGCCTCTGGGGGAAGAACCTTTTGCTGAGCTCCACCCTGAGCCTGCCCTGACACAGCTCCAGCCATTCCCTGGGGGCTGTCCCTGCTCCCCCCAGAGCAGAGCTCAGCCCTGCCCCTCCTCTGCCCCTGCCCAGGCAGCTGGAACTGCAGGGACGTCTCCCCTCAGTCTCCCCCAGCTGAACACACCAAGTGCCTTCATTAACTCCACTGCACATTTATTTAAACGCCACTGCAAGCACTGTCTGCGCCCAACTGTGACCACACCTTTATCAGCAAAGACACAAAGTACTGGCAAAGGAGGCCACGAACCTGTGATTGCTGGGGATTGAAACACACCTGTGCTCTGACTTAGCTGTGTTTGAAATGAGAAATCACAGGAACATTTCCAGGACCACAAGCTAAAAGGATGCATTAAACTTAGTGGGATTTCTGCCATTGAAATAATTTTTCTCAAAATTTTTCTGACATGGGTTTAATTCAGATATTTTACTCCAGTTTCAAATTTCCAGGATCAGATCACAAAATCAAGTCGGAGGAGACAATTTTTCTTAAGCAAGATGAACCACAATTTATATCCTTCCAGTGGAAACTAGCATTAAAAAACCCTTAAAAATCAGGTTGCCTGCTCAGAACATCTTAACTCCCTGGGCTATTGAAGTTACATACAGTCAGAATAGAGGGCCATTTGGGTGCAAAAGACAGTTTTTCAAGCTGTGCCTGCCTGAAGCCTGCACTGTTCCCACTTCATGCTCTGAAGGTCAAAATTTGAGCTTCAAATCTTGTAAATCACAGACTAAAACACGTAAATTGGATATTCTGTTATTGGCAATTACGAACTGAGATTATTAAATAGTAACTAGTAATATTCAAGTAATACTTGAAAAATTCAAATAGAAACTATTACTTTTAAATGCTCATCTCAATGTTCCTTTTAAGTCGAAACAAGCAGCAAAGGCTGCAGTGGACTTGTTTTCCTTCCCCACCCCACAGCAGAGGAAAGAGAGCCCAGCCCTGCACAGACATCAGACTCCATCATCAGCTGGGAACACGTGTCCAGGCAAGACATAACTGGGAAAAAACCATACTGGAAGAACTGACAGAGTATAAATTACTTGGATGTGTCTCAGGTAGGCACAAGACCAGCCTCCAGCTCTCCCTCCCAGGCATGCTATTGTCACTATCCTGTTTTCACTCTGTTCCTGAGTGCTGTGTCCCCTGCTCTCCCTGTCCTGAGCATGCAGAGCCCAAAACCAAGAGCCTGTGATGAATCCTAGGGAGATGCAGGTATATTCTTCCTCCCTGGCACCACATCTGGGGCTCCTAAGCTGCTCTCCTACTTTCATCCAATTCACTGGCCTTTCTTCCTTGCTGTCCTTCCCTCCCCTCAGACTCACAGCCCTAACACAGAGCAGTGGTCCCCTCCTGGATCCTGAGTCCCTTCCCCTATGTCCAGGGCCACCCTCCAGCCTCCCTCCAAGCTGCTGTCATCCAATGGAGTTATTTTTCTTGGCTGAACCCCTGTACTGTCCCTTCATGGCCATGCCAGGATCTGGGTGTGCTTCACTAGAACCCACATGCAGTTCACTGGCCAAGCAGCAGCAACTCCTTCAGCTTTGCCGGCCTCTTTCCACCAGCTCTCTTCAACTTCAGTTCACTTATTTAGTGTCAGGTTCTCTGGAGTTCTTTCCCTCTCCTGAGCAGGTATCCTTTGCCAATCCTGTTCCTATAACCTGTTGTTGCATTCCCACCAGCCCCCTTCTAAAAGTCTGATATTAGGCCGTATCTTTAGATTGATTTCATGTTGATTTAAACTGGCGTTCCATTTCTCCATCCAAATACAGTGTCTTAGTCACAGGCTTCTGTATTTTTTCCAGTTGCCATTTCAAGTGAAAACAAGTTATTGATCTCCCAGCTCAGTGATGCAGAGCAGTGGATATCACCAGTGATTTCATCTTCTCTTCACTAAGATCATGTGCTGCTCTTGCTCCTTCTTTCCATGCACCACTTTTTTTGCTCCCCCAATCTTTTTGGATAATTTTTTTTTCGAGAGTCAGGTGGTTTTAAACCAGGTCTTTTAAAACAGATTAAGAATTGACAATACTGGATTAGACCAAATTCAATTTGCCTCAGCATGCCACCCCAAACAGTGGCCAAAGACAGTCCCTTTAGAGTATAAAACCAACACCAAAATATGTTACCTTCCTCTATTACCTCCCAGTTTCCAAACACTTTCATCTCACAGACTTCCTGAACTACACAAGATTTCTGTGCACATCATAACCCTCAAAAGATTGTTTTTTCCAAAGACTAAGAACAAGTCTCCCTGTGGACTTTCACCATTTGCACCTGCAGCAAGGGATGCCACTCCTCACATGCCCATTGCAATGAGAATCATTACCTTTCCTTTTGAATCTGTTTTTAGTTTCTTCCGATGCCCTCAGTTCTTGTAATGAAGAAAAAAAACAAGGCAGATCAAATAAGATGTAACCTCACTCTTCCCATCAACTGTACCTGCTTTACTCTTGCCACGTTCTGAGCAAGCTGGAAGACAGGAAGGTCTTGGCAGCAGCTCAGAGTCCTATAACCAGTCCTGTCACTTCCAGAGAATAAGATTTTGACTACCCAGTTCAGCCTCACTCAAACCTCATTTTCTTCCTTGTTACTTATGTATTTTATTCCCACTTAATTTAGCACTAATGAACATGGTCTCTCTTGCAGGCTGTTTGTCACAGGAAGATCCCCACAGTATTTGCAGGAAGATATCCAAGTCTCTTGCTTGGAAGACCCCATTCCTTGGTGTCAGTTTGGCAGGGAATGAGTTCTTACTCATTTTACTTCTCATTTCTCCCACTTCCAATTGCCTTATGTCATAGGTTTGAAAAGAGATGTTGGAATTTTTCCCTAAGGTCCCGTTCCCCCCACACATCTGTTTCTGATGAAGTCGGGGGGTATGGGGAATGCAGGAGCAGGGGAAGGGGGAGGTTCCCTGGAAGCACAATTGCCAGGGGCACAGCTGGGGAGTCTTTTGTTGGGAGGTTTTTGGTATTGTCTGCCCACTGGACAGAGCGGGAGCCAGGTTTTGGCCGCCCTCCTTTTCTTTTCCTGACAGGAAGGGTTTTTTTCCCACAGGACACCTCACAGAGGACGACTGAGAGAGACTGGCCCACCTCAGAGCGAGGTATTCTGCCTTTGAACTGCCTGTGTCCAAAAGGACTCTTTCATTGCTGGCTGCGAGCAGCTCTCGAGCTCCCGGGACATTTTACCTTCAGCTTCCCCCCCTTCCCCTTTGCCCTGCCCCGGGTTTCTTCCCCCTCCCACCTGGGGAACTGGGACTTTGTTTTGTTTCTTTTGAAAATTTTTGATTGCACCATTTGTTTTTTTATTCAGATTTTGTTAATAAAAAGCTGTTCTTTTCCTTTTCCACACTTCCACCTGAAGTTTCTTAATTTCTAAGTTGTAATCTTGCTAAACTAAAGACACCTTAATTTCCCAGTTCCATTTTCACCGTGGAGCACACAGGAAGGCAGCCAGTCAAATACATTACATTCAACTAACTGCCAGCCTTGCTAGTTCCTGTGCTACTGTCTGCAGGCCTGGGCTGGGACATGTTTCGAACATGCTTCAATGAGGTTCTGAGCTCGTAAGAGGACCCTTTGGTTCTGACTGAGACAAACTGCTTAAGAGATCAGTGCAACAAGGGCTCTGTCACCTGGGACTTCAGCACAGATCCAACAGCTGGTTTTAAAATCTATATGCTGCTCTTATCCACAGTTTTTCAGTAGGCAAAGGCCCTACTCTTACTTACTATGTAGTCATTGTCCTCATCCTTGGGGCCCTCGCTGTAGTACACACGATAAGCTTTAGCCACTTGGTCAATCTGTGCCCTGGTACCAGTCAACCCGACCAGCTTTGGAGAAAATTCTAGATAGAAACAAGACATTTACATATTTTAGTGAAAACAATCCCTTCAAGAGGCTCCTTTCCAGTGTTCTGTATTACATGCTATGAGACACAGAGGAAAAAAGCAGTAATACCTTTAACATATTTGGCAATGGCTTCTTGGTTGTCCCTCTCAGGATCGATGGTGATGAAGAGCGGGGTCAGATTAGGCAAAGATGGAATTTGTTCTGTGACATAAACAATTATTATTTATTTTACAAAACTAGAAATCATTTCTCATCTCCCTTCAAACAACCTCACAGCCAAGTAATATCAGTCCAAGCCCACCCTAAGGGACTAAAAAAAACCATTCTGTGCAGCTTAATTTATCTAATTTGTGAATGATTCAAATACTGTGAGATGCAATGCTCAGTGTCTGCGCTGGGAGCTTCCCTCCCTCCCTGCCCTGCTCAGGAGGGACGACAGAGTGGCTGTGCTGCAGCAGACATGGTGGTGTGATGCACATTTGGAAGCACAGTGGCTCACACAAGGGAAGCATGCTGGGATGGGGGAACGGGAGGAAATATGAAGACACAATTCAGGCTCTTTCCCTCATGTTCCAGCCAGAGCCTTGGCTGTATTTCCTTCACGTTAGTCTGTTTTCCCACTTGCTGGGTTTACCACTATCCCTGCCCCATAATTCTTCAGGCCATCTCTAACACATGGCCTTCCCCCTTCCTCCATTCCACAGCACAGCCACTCTGCATCAGGAGAGACTCTCACAGAGATTTGTTCTCAGGATGCACAAAACAGAGGGGAAAAAAATCCTAACAGACCTCACAGTCACTTCTAGGCAAAAATACAATGCACTGCATTCCCTGTGACCTGCCACCACCATGTTTTACTCCCAAGTCCCCTGTTATGGAAAGACCAGTGCTGTTATGTCAGACCCCAGTGACAGGCAAATTGATCTATGGATCACTTAGCAATTAATTCAACTAGCAGCCAACAGCGTTTTTTAAAGAACATCATCAGTTATCACCATTTGTGACATTTTATTAGAATAAACCTGACCCTCCCATAAACAGGACCTCTACACCCACTGAATTCCCTGAATTCCCATACCAATTTCATCTACCACTGCAATCATTTTCTCCAGTTCATCGGGACACACATCAGGGCAGTGAGTGAAGCCAAAGTAGATCAGCACCCACTGGCCCATGTAGTCCTCACTGGTCCTGGGCTGTCCCTCATGGCTCACGAGCGAGAAGGGCCCTCCCAGCAGCGGCTTCCCAATGCCTCGGTTACGTTCCTTCTCCAGCTCTACAAAACACAAGAGGAGATCAAACACATCCATGGCACAATCCCTACTGTTTCCCTGGCGAGCCTCGGAAGCAGCCAAGTCAGGCACCACACTGGGTCATGGGCACGGCACTGCCAGGTCAAGATCCACCAGCAGCTGTCATGTGTGCACCACACCAATGCACCAGTGTGCACCACACCAATGCACCAGTGTGCACCACACCAATGCACCAGTGTGCACATGGCTTCCAAAAAGCACTGCTTCTGGATAAAATCAAATATGTCACTACATTGCTTTGCAACAGAATCTCTTTCTTTATTGTTATCTGATTGCATTTTTGTTTAAAAAGAAAAGGGGGAAAACAGAGAGAAAGGTGGTTTCCCACCTGGCCTGGTAGGAAACAGAAAAAGCAGCATCCTCTGCAAAGTGAAGATACCCTAAGAGCTGTAACATCTCTGTTTCCAACAGTAAACCCATGAAAAGGAAAGGCGTGGGCATTTCCTGCAGGAGAGGGCTAAGTTCACGTGCCTCACAGAGGGAAGCAATGTGCCCACCACACCCAGCTCCGTGTCCGTGCTGCATCGCCGGGCACAGCGCCTGCAGCCAAGCACAACTATTCCAACCTCAGAATTTTCAAACGCTGAATCTTGCTTTTAATTTTTAAAAATTTTCCGCGGCCTTTCCGTACACAAAGGCGCGGAGCGGCCCTGTGCAAAGCTGTGATACCGAGATGTCCGAGCGGATAAAATACACCTGACCACAAAAAGTACATCGTCTGAGTACAAAAAATGCATCATCTGAACACGAGACGCGGCCCCGCCGCTGCTCCTCCATCGCTCGCACTCACCCTCCTCCTTGCGCCGCTTCACCGCCTTCATGCCGACCAGCAGCCCCCCGCCCAGCACGGCGGTGGCCGCCAAGGACCGCCACGACACGAGCTGCGGGGACAGGGGCTCAGTGAGCGCCGACGGGCAGGGCCGGCCCGCGCCCCACTGCCCTCCCTCCCTCTCTCCCTCCCTCACTCACTCACTCACCCGCCTCTGCCCGCCCGCCCGGCGGCCGCTGCCCGGCGGCAGCTGCGAGAAGGGGCGGCTGCGGGACGCGGGCAGCCCCGCCTGGACGCGCCCAGCCGGGCCCGGCAGCGGCCCCAGCGCGGCCTGGCCCCTCCGCACGACCCCGCCGAGCCGCCACAGCCCCCACCGCGCCGCCATTTCGCGCCGCCCGCACCGCCCCTTCCGCCCCGCCCGCGGCCGCCATGGAGGCGGCGCCGCGCGTCGCCTTCGGGGTCATCGCCGACATCCAGTTCGCGGACGCCGAGGACGGGCACGACTTCGCCGGCTGCCGGCGGCGCTACTACCGGCACAGCCTGCGCCTGCTGCGGGACGCGGTGCGGGCCTGGGCCGCCGAGAGCCCACCGATCGACTTCGTGCTGCAGCTGGGCGACAGCATCGACGGGCTGAACGCCCGGCGCGGCGAGGCCGAGGGCGCCCTGCGGCAGGTGCTGGAGGCCCTGGGGCGGCTGCCGGTGCCGGTGCACCACGCGTGGGGCAACCACGAGCTGTACAACTTCAGCCGGGCCCGGCTGGCGCAGAGCGGGCTGTGCAGCCGCCCCGCGGGGGGCGCGGCCGGGCCCGCGGACGGGCTGTGCCAGGCCTATCACTGCAGCCCCGCCGCGCGGCTCCGCCTCGTCGTGCTCGACGCCTACGACCTGAGCATCCTGGGCAGGGACCCCGACAGCCCCCGCTACCAGGAGTCCCTGCGGCTGCTGCGGGACAAGAACCCCAACGAGGATCTCAACAGCCCCGCAGGTACACTCGGCGCTGCGGGAGCGAGGGCGGGGCAGCTCCCGGGGCCGGCAGCGAGGCTCGGGCCGGTGCCCCAGGGCTGCCCACCTCCTCCTCCTCCCTGCGGTCACTGCGGCCCTAGGCGGGCACGGGAGATGCTCCCCCTTACCCGTGTTGTGCTCTGTGCCCCGCAGTGTCAGAACACGGGGTAGCTGTTGGTGAGGGGGCTGTTGCAGAACACCGACTTGTGCCCACCGCATCCCATGCTGGGGGGGAGACACACAAGAGTGGAAACGCTGTGCATACAGTGTGACCAAAACCCCTGAAAACACTAACAAAACACTTCTCTTTTGTCCAAGGAGGCTGGAAGTTTGATCCAAGAAAAAAAAAAAACAAAACAAAACATCCCAAATGTTAAGAGAGTAAACCATGTATTGTAAGCAGATTTATGTAAGGCAAGTAGAGGAGCTGTGGGAGGTGTATGCACCTGTGCCTAACCTTCTTCTTCACTGTAGGGCTCAAAGAACCTCAGTTTGTAGCATTTAATGGAGGATTTAGCCAAGCCCAGCTGGACTGGTTCAATGAAGTCCTCAAGTTCTCTGATGAAAACCAAGAAAAAGTTGTAGTTATGGGTAAGTGGATATGGGTGATATAGTGGTTAAGGGCGCGGCGCTGTCACCGCCGAGGCCCGGGTTCGTTTCCCGGTCAGGGCCACTCCTGGGCAGATGGAGCTCGTTAGCCCTTAAAGGCAATCCATCTACGTCCTGAGGACCTCGCTGCCACCATCCAAGCTCTCTTAGCCCCGGCAGATGAACCTTAGGATTAAAGGGTGGGCTCAGTTCCGCGCACACTGTGTCTCACCTAAAAAATCCAATGCGCTGGCTGGAAGGCGTAAAGACCTTCCCCGGATCTTCGCTTGCGAAGACTGGCCATTATTATTACAGAATGGTTTGGGTTGGAAGGGCCCTTAAAGATACCTAGTTCCAACCCCTGTATTTGAGGGAGGTATATATTCCCAGAATATATTCCTGGAATATGTACTGGGAACAGCTGGTGTATGTGAGTTGAGGAAAACATGTAGCTTTGCAGCTCCGCTGAGATACAGATGTAACCTGTGAAAGCGCAGGACAGACCCTGTCCATACTGGGGGGAACTTTCTGCACAGGCTTGGCTGAGCTTCCCAGCAATGAGGCAGACTTTGTTACAGTAACTCTCCTGTTTTTTTCCCTCAACTGCAGGTCACCTGCCCATTCACCCCGATGCTTCGGACAGGGTGTGCCTGGCCTGGAATTATGAAGCTGCCCTGTCTGTCATCCACTCCCACCGGTGCGTGGTCTGTGTCCTCGCGGGGCACCTGCACGACGGGGGGTACTGCCAGGACTCCCATGGAGTTCATCACCTCACCTTGGAGGGGGTAATCGAAACGCCCCCAGAAAGCAACGCTTTTGGGACTGTTTATGTCTACGAAGATAAAATGGTACTAAAGGGAAGGGGCAGAATTGCAGACAGAGTTATGCAGTTCTGAAATGCCAGGTAAATGCAGATTGCTCTTCAGGAAGGACTCGGGATAAAAATGTAGGGGATTCAGCTCACTGGTTGCAGAAAGGCGCATGGCTGATCCTTATTGCTTTAGCTCAGGCAGGCATTTTTCTCTTGGATACAGGATTTTAGAAATTACGTTTCTGTAAGGAAAGCCTGATTTCCTTGTGGAAAATAGAGAAGGCCAGTAACTGAAATACTTGAACGCAGAATATTGACTTGAAACACCCAATCCAGACTGGATTGTTACTGTGAAGAGATGCAAACCATATTATGAATATTGTCAAAAAAACACCCCGTTATCCTCTCAGTGAGCATTAAAGCGTGCAGAGTTGTAGCTGCCCAGCTGCATTTCAACATCATAGGCAGTAATGTCTCATGTCTGGCAGAATACACCCACCCTGTAGCCTAATGCAGCCTTCCAACATTGCTTTAAAAGACTAAAGTAATCCCCAGAAAAGGCTAAGCCTAAAGAGAATGGAGCCCATCCGTGCTACAGCAGGGAATGGGGCACATACACAGGCAGGGGCCCCTGTGTGCACAGCTGTGACCTCCTGCAGCAGTGCTGGGTGAAGGAGCCCTGACATGGGTCTAAAGGGGTTGCTGTGCTGCACCTGGAGCTGTGCTGGCTCTGTCCCACCCAGCTCATGTATCCATGTCCAGTGTATCCACCCGTGCTTCCTTTTCCAGGATGAGCAGTGGGACATGCTTAGTGCTGCCTGGCTGCTGCTTGGGTCCTGCTTTCCAGGGAAAAGCCAGTGAGCAGCAGAGTTGTGACAGTGCCCACATCTGCTGGTGGCAGGCTCAGGTACACATCTCCCAAAAAATAAAAGATACAGAGGCTTTTGTTGAGTTTTCTTTAGAAAAATAATGTTTATTACTTTGCAAAACTAGTGATTTTCAGCTAATAGCAAAATTAATTTGTCAGATATATTCTACATATCATTTTAGCACAGGAACAGAAATACAGACTGCTCAATTTCCCAGTTAGTCTCAAATGGATTATCCAGGCAGATATTTGGACGTTCTATGGCTGTAAATAGGCATGTCTTGAAACAGTTTTGCTTTACTTGTCCCTTACAGAACAGTAGATTTCCCAAAGTACAAGGTGGTTGGAGAGTGATCTAGGGATGCTAGGATGTCTTGAATATACAATTAGAACACATTAAATCAACAGTGCTTTGAAAATGTAGGAAGCAGCCAGCTGAACAACAATTTCCACAGAAATATTCCTCATTTAGATTTGACGGTGTTCCTCAGCTTTTTACCAAAACTCAAATGGCACTGCTGGAAGTAGCCAGGCATTCTTGTGTCCTATCAAGCTGACACTAATCTTTCATTAATCACCAAAAGCAAAGGCAAATACAGTCAGAATATTTACTCTAGACTTCCTCCCACCCAGTTAAATCACTGTTTTGCAGTGCTCTGGCCAAGATGCTCGCAGCTCTTTGTTCACATAAATGTACAGCCATGAAGCAAAGGGGAAGAGGGCAACCACGACTGCAGCAGCCAAGCAAACTCCTCCCAGAGGACTCCTGTAAAGGAACAAGTGCAACACAGCTATACAAATCACAATTGTTAAGGTTGAAAAAGACCTCTAAGATCATCAAGTCCAACCTTGTACCACATACCACCACGCCCACTAAACCCTATCATGAATTGCTAGTTGTTTTTTGAACACTTCCAGGAATGATGACTCCACCACCTCCCTCGGCAGCCCTATCCACTATTCCAGAGAAGGAATTCTTCTTAATATCCAACCTGAACTTCCTCTGGTGCAACTGGAAGCCATTTCCTCTCATCCTGTCCCTGGTTCCCTGGGAGCAGAGTCTGACTCCCCCTGGCTCCCCCCTCCTGTCAGGGAGTTGCAGAGCCAGAAGGTCTCCCCTGAGCCTCCTTTTCTCCAGGCTGAGCCCCCCCAGGTCCCTCAGCCCCTCCTGCTGCTCCAGCCCCTTCCCAGCTCTGTTCCCTTCCCTGCACACACTCCAGCCCCTCCATGCCTTGTCTGAGGGGCCCAGAACTGTCCCCAGCACTGGAGGTGCCTCAGCAGTTCCAGCACAGGGACAGCCCCTGCCCTGGTCCTGCTGCCACACTATGGCTGCTACAAGCCAGGATGTCCTTGGCCTTTGTGGCCACTGCTACAACTGCTATGAAGCATTCTCATCCACCTGCAGCTGGAAAGACAGCAGGGAGCCCTTGGCCACTCTAATGTGGCTCCTGTGGATGCATCAGCATAGTCCTTTACTGGAGAGGCACCATGTACCAGCAGAAAATAATTTTTGACAACTCAGGCTACAAAAGTTGGAATAAGAAAAGGCATCTTATGCAAAGAGAAAGGGGAGCAGAAAAAATGTTTCATGTAGCCTTACATTTCCTCCTGCCCTGACTTCTATCTCTGTGAGAACCTCCAGGCTGTAGCACCAGCTGCTACTGCTTGGGCGTCTGAAAGGTTCAGAGGGTAACATGAAACAGAAAAAGAAGCTGCCAAAATCAACTATGTGTTTTCAGGGACCTAGTCACTAAGTGTGAACATAGGAATGGATTAAAGAAAAGGAGAAAATAAAACTTACTTTGATGAACTGCGACAAAGCCTCATCCATATTGTAATAATTACCAGACCAAACAACTCTCTAAAAAGCCAAATGAAAAACAAATCAGAAAATAATACGAGTACATGTCTATGTTTAGAGAATACAAATTTTACCTCCAAAACAAGCAGAGGCTGCTCCTTTGGAGAAGTTCAATATATTTTACTAGCATTATAATTAAAAAGGTTATTTACAAGGAGTAACTTTGCTTTGTATCACAAATCTACAGACGTGACCCAGCTAAACAGATGCAGAAATTCTGCCTCCACTTTTTCCTCCACTGCTAGACTTGAATTCCACAGCACATTTCTCTCATTAGCACAGTGCAATCAGCAACCCAGTTTTCCAGACCATGAACAGCTGCCAGGGCTTCACCTCAATACTGTACAAGCACCTACTTTAGGCAACACCCAAATGTCCAGCTGAGAAATCCTCCCTCCTCCTCAATCTCGGGCAGTTTGGAGGACTCAGCAGCCCTTGCCAGATAAACATGCATGTGGTGTCACCTCAGGAGTTTTGGAAACATTAATTACCATTCCTGTAGCTCCTGTGCAAGAGAGCACAAAGCTGTTTCACTGTTCTTGTGTTCTGGACTTCGAAAGCCAGAACTGCCCCCAGGTAAATCTACCTGCCACAATCAGGCAAGCAATGACTGTTCACTCTCCCTTTGGAGCATTACGGTCCCTTCCCTTTGGTCTGATTCCTCTGGACCAACAGCACTCACTACAACAGCCCAGCAAATAAAGTTTTGGAAGGTGACACCAGGAGGAGATGGCCTGGTGAGCTGGACTTGAGCAGCGGCAAAGAAAACCCACTGTTTACCTGCCTTCCTCTTCATGAAAAATGTTTCCTTGAGCATAAGCAAACAAAGAGCAAGCCAAGGCAATGGTCCCAACCACACAGCCAGCAGAATGAAGGTCACACAGGGTCCTCCAAACACCATTATCTGAGGAAAAAAATACACTGTCAGCAACTACCATGAAGCATGAAGTAAACCTATAAATCCAAAAGCAACTGAGCTGCTAAAAAAGGTGCCTCCAACACACACACCTTAGGCAGGAAGGTGTCATTATTACCAGCATCTTTAGGACTAGGGAAATCTTCTAAAAAGTGCTGTAAAAAATAAATACTACTGGGCCTAGGAACACAACTTTCTCGGCATCAGAACCTCAATGAAAACTTTTGTGTTCTCTGCAGCAAACACGACAGGCCCCAGCATCAATGTGCATGGGAAAAAACAAAAAGAAACAAACACAAGGTGTATGACGAATGGAAGTTCTCCTGAGCAGGAGGTACAGCCTTCTGGAGCTCACAGCCAAAACCAGGTGCTCAGCACGACCCCAGGGGCCCAAGGGAACCCAGGAGAGGCCGAGCCTCCAGGCAGCCACCACTGTGGGGAGCATCTGGCTTCACACTCCCTGAGGAGATGCTGCCTCAGGTGTTGCCTGTGATGATGAGCAACACTGACAACATCTCTGCCTGTTTTTAAATAGATAAATAGAGATGGTGTGAAATATCTGAAGGGCCCACAGGTTCTTATGGTTTTCCATGTCCCCTCCCAGGGGCTCCTGAGTGGGAGGTAAGAAATGACACTGACAGTTCTCCCTGATCTCAGCAACATCAACAGCAGAAAAACTAAGGTGAAAAGCAGGGGTTTTGGGCATTGACCCCTCCATGCAAGCATCAGAGGTGATGAGCTGCCAAGACGTCAGAGAGACCCAACACTGTATCAATTCTCAATTTGGCTGAACTTACTGCAGCTCAGCACAGGCAGAATCTGGGTCTTCCACAAAGCTGAACGGCAAATATCCCTTGGTGTATTTACGTAAATCTCCCGTTATACAATAGTTATGCCATTATAATCTTTATTTTCTACAGATCTTGGCACAAGTAAAACCCTACTGAGAGCTTAACATGCAGACTCTCTTGACTAGCCAAATGCCATCATGTGGAAGCTACCCCTATTACACACAATAAACCTCTCCTGAAATGTTCAAAACCACAAGCAACCAGCCCTCAGGGGTTTTGCTTTATGGATGATTACACTTTATATGCTTAAGGTAATGAATGCCTGCAATGGTGTCATTTGTGACAACAGCATGCACTCCTGAAGGCTTTTTTTTGGCGCTAAATGTGATTTTAGTCTATTCAAAATAAGTATTCATCCAGAACAGATGCAGTCACTTAGTGTATATAAAATAGCCTTATTCTGAAATTATTTCTACTGAACAAAAATACCAAAAAAATTAACTATGTTCTGGAGTCCAGAAACAGATCTGATCCATAGAATCATAGAATCAAATGGGCTGGAAAAGACCTTCGAGATCATCAAGTCCAACTCTTGATCCAACATCGCTGTGGTGGTGGCACTGATGCCACATCCAGTCTCATCTTAAAAACCTTCAGGGACAATTAATCCACCCCCTCCTTGGGCAGCCCATTCCAATGGCTGAGCACTCTCTCTGTAATACAATTCTTCCTAATATGCAACCTAAACTTCCCCTGGCACAGCTGAAGACCGAGCCCTCTTGTCCTGCTGCTGTTCCTGGGAGAAGAGACCAATATCCACCTACACCCTCCTGTCAGGGAGTTGCAGAGAGTGATGAGGTCTCCCCTGAGCCTCCTCTTCTCCAGGCTAAACAACCCCTGCTCCCTCAGCCTCTCCTCACAGCACTTGTGCTCCAGTCCCTTCCCCAGTCTCGTTGCTCTTCTCTGGACCTGCTCCAACACCTCAATATCCTTCCTGATCTGACTGATCCTCTGAACATGTGAAGCAGCATTAGCACCTGTAGCATCCACCAAACACAGCCTTTGAACACTGCCATTGCTGCCCGTGTGCTCTGTGGGGCAGCTGCAATACCTGGCAATAAACAAGACTTTTAGTGCTTTTGTAGGACTGTGCAGAGCTCAGCTGCTCTTGCATGAGCTAGATAAGCAAAACCACAGATTTACAACAAGGAAATAAAGTGAATTAATGTCCTAAGGTCAACACCAGAGCCAGGTTCAGAGCAACCCCCAGGCTTTTGAATTGGAGTGCAAAGGCAGCCCATACCAGCAGCATTTTCTGCAGGGCTCCTCCCTTCACCTGCAGCAAATCCAGCCACCACCACTAAACCAATGACCAGCTGTTGTAGAAGCAGGTCCCACAACCTTGTGCCTTCAAAAGATAGTAGGACATGTTTCCACATGGCCTGATTTTAATCAGTGGTCCAATAAAGCAAAACAAAACAAAACAACAAAAAATCACCCCAAAAAAACCAACCAAAAAAAAAAAAACCAACACCAAACCTTTTTGGGGCAAAATTTGAACAGAGACTCTCTTTTCACACCAGTATCGTACCTGTTATTGAAGGGTTGATGCTAACAAGCAGTGTCAGGGCAGCTGGCACTAAGTAGACAACCTGTTAATGATATATCAATATACTCTGCAGGAAAACGTAGCAAGGTCAGAAAGCAGATGTGCCTACCCACAGCAGTACTTCTCCCCTTCCCAGCACTTTTTCAGAGGCAAAGAGCAACTCCCAGTGCCTCTCCCTCGGGCACTGTTAATGCTTTTCTTTACCATCCCCACCCAAAATCCTGGGCCATCACCTGAGTGCCAGCCTTGTTTCCCAGCTTCTGAGGTACCAAGTGCTGGCTGCCGGACCAGCCACTGCAGGGCCCCTTCCCTGAATCCTGAAATGCCAGGAAAAGCTCTGACAGGGTGCCTCCACTCTGGCCTTTGCCCAGCCTTCGGGGCCGCTGTCAGCGGGGCTCCCCCGCCAGGGACACACAGGGGCAGCCCCTGCCCACCCAGCAGCCTCTGTCACACCCACAGACGGTGCCCCTCGGCCCCAGCCCCCAGCCCGGCACACTGGGCCGGGGCCACGGGCTGCTCCTGTGCCCGAGACAGGGCGAGCAGAGCAGGCGGTCTGTCCCCATTGCCCCCCGGGCCGAGCTGAGCCGCCGGAGCGTCCCGGGGATGACTCAAGGCGAGCGGAGGGCGATGGGTCCCGGGGCCGGCTCGGGGTGCTCCGCACGGGGAAGCGATGCTGTGCAGGGCCAGGTGCAGATCTGGGCTGAAATAAGGCAGATCCTGGAAGCATGGGCTGATTCCAGCTGTTGCTGCAGTAGAGAGATCGTTTTCCTGGCGCCTGCTCGCTCTCCAGCTGGAAGCCGGGAGCATGTTTTCTGTGGCGACCCCGGCTCGGGGGCAGAGGGAGGGGAAGGGCAGCCCGGACTCACCGTCCACAGCCCCGCGTCGGGGTCGTTCACCTGCGGCGGGAGGAGAGCGCTGAGCCCCCGCCGCCGGCCCGGCCGGAGCCGCGCCCCGCGGGAGGGACGGGGGGACGGAGGGGATCAGAGGGGCCGGGATCGGAGCCGCCCCCAGCCCGGGAGACTGCGGCCTCACCTGTACGGCGGCCGCCAGCCCGAAGAAGGAGGCCATGAGGAGGTTGCAGAGCCGCCACAGCCGCGCCGCCATGGCCGGGGCGGGCACAGAGGGGCTGGCCCAGAGGGCCGGACTCGCCCTGCCCGCCTGCAGTGATCCCGATCCCGGCCCCGGCCCCGGCCCCAATCCCGGTGCCGGTCCCGGTTCCGGTCCCCATCTCCGCAATATCCCGGCAGCAGCGCGGCCGCCCGCACTGGGCCAGTCTGGGCCTGTGCTGTGAGGGTGGGCAGGCCCTGGCACAGGTGCCCAGAGAAGCTGTGGCTGCCCCAGCCCTGGAAGTGCCCAAGACCTAGTCTACTGTTCAACCCACGTCTAGTCCAAGGTGTCCCTGCCCATGGCTGGGGCACGGAACGACATGGGCTTTAAGGTCTCTTCCAACACAAGCCATTCTGTGATTTATCACTCCTGACTTTTAGTAGGGATTGGAAAATGCTTGTGCTCCAACTCGAGCCAAGTCCAGAGCCGCGTGGCGCTGGGTGCACTGTGCATACCCCGGGAACTACAGAAAATCCAGGGCTCTCCTGCCTTTCACTGCTTGTACCGCTGACTGGAAGCTCCACAGCTCCACACCGACAGAGGGCAGGGTTACATTGGCAGGATCGCACACTCAGCACCGCGCAGCTGGACACCAGGGCTTTGGGCACGTTGTTGCAGCTTTATTCACCCCCAGTCCTTTAGCCAAGGTGTTATAGTCAACAGATCACAAATATAAAATTTAAAATATTAAAATTTATTAAAGGCGAATGAGCAAAACAGCGCTGGGCAGCCGGGCAGCCTCTTGCTCCACCAACGGTCCACGCCTTCTAGAAACCAGGACCTGTCTTTTCTACATGCCGCTATCCCCTCCACATCAGGCGGTCTTCGGATGGAAGCGGCAGGTCCCGGATGAAGGCGGGAGGGCGGCAAATTATCTATTTTTGCTTTAATTAACTATTACAAAGGCACGCTGCACCTCTGCCAGGCTCAGGGCCAGCAGCAGCGCAGCGCTTGCAGAAGGCCTCTTGGTCTTTGGGGCACACAAGGACTCCTCAGAAACACGGTTGTCTGAGCTGCCAGGGAGCTGACAGAGATATCCCAGTCTGTCTCCAAGGGCTGAAGGGCTGTGAGCGAAAGAAACAGAGCCCAGATAAACCCCCACGTCTGCAGAGACCCACCGCAGTCCTGACAGAGCATGCTGCCCACTCACCGCTCAGGATCTCAGCCTGACTGTCCATGGCCTCGTCCCTCAGGTGCCGTGTGAGGAGTCCTGGGCACAGAGCTCCATTAGCCCCTGTTCCCCAGCCTGCTCCCAGCAGCAGGGCTCTCAGCCCTACCCGCCTCCTCCTCCTCAGCACAGCTGAACCCAGGAGCCACCAGAAGCTCAAGGGAGTGGCACTCAGGGCTAAGCAGGGGCTGGCAGAGGGAGGCAAGGCCCTGCCCGGGCTGGCCGGGGCTGGGGCAGGCCCTGGTTGCTGGGGCAGCAGCGGCACAGGGGCCAGGCTGCCCCAAGAGGCACCGCAGGGGCCGGCACTCACCGATGAACCTGACGGCCGCCAGGCGCACGTTGGCCTGAGGGTCCTGCAGGTATGGCAGGCTCTGATGGATGAAATCTTCAGCCCTGCTCCTGCTCTTCTGCAGCTGCACAGACAACAAGGCATGTGTCCCAAGGACTGTCCCAGACTTGGCTGGAGCAGTGCCTCCTGTCAGCACCCCCTGGGACTGAGAGCCCTCCCCTCCTGCTGGGTGCAGGGAGGGGACAGGGGCCTGCAGAAGAACCCCTGGAGCTCTGCTCCTGAGGGTAGCAACAAGGATGCAGCTCCAGGCTCTGCCCAGCGGCAGAGCCCCCAGCCCAGACGTGGCATGGGGGGCAGCCCTCCCCCAGCCTGGGGGACTGGGCCCCACAGCTTGTCCTTACCAAGCACACTCCAAGCTCCCACAGCCGCTCTCTCTGCAGCAGGTGCTTGAGCGTCTTCCACCTCAGCAGCTCGGCGGCAGCAAGAAGGGCTTCCCTGGAGGCCTGCAAGACAGCATGAGCTCAGAGATGGCCCAGGAGCCTGGGCAAGGAGATCTCTTGGCTTTGTTGCTGGCGGGATGCTGCCTTTAGGAAGCTGGGACGTGCCCTAGCCCAAATGTCTGGGAGCCTTTTGGGGACAGCCCTGGGGCACAGGCAGGGAGGCTCAAAGCCCTGGCCTCCAACACCTTCAGGGACAGCTGAGAAGCCTGTGGGGATGCCCCTGCTGAGGCCTTGGTGGCCGTGGGCTGCTGCCGAGCCCCGCAGGAGCAGGCAGGGCAGGTGTTGCACGGGCCCACCAGCTTCTCCGACCCTGCTGGCGCCGGCTCCGCACGCACCTTCCCACAGGCTGTGCTGGGGCAGCACGGCCCACTGCCAGCAGCCCCTGCCCCGATGCCCAGGAGCCTGGGGGGTGTCAGCCCAGCCCTCTCTCTGTCAGGGCTCAGCCTTCAAACCTGTACCTTGGCAACGCTGGGGACCTGGTCGCTCACACGGAAGAGGAGCGGCACCAGCGCCCGCCACACCTCCTTCCTCATCCTCTTCTCATCCCTCCGAACAACTAAGGCCAGCAGCTCTGCGAACGTGCAGATGGACAGCTCTCGCAGCTCGCTGCACTCCTGGCAGAAAGCAGGAAAAGTGAGCTTTGGGAACAGCAGCTCCCTGCCCACAGGGAAGTGGAGCAGTGACCATGGCCGTGGGGAGGGCAGAGGCTCCACGCTCCCATCCCAGAAGCAGTAGCACTGGGCTGCACGGCCCAGAAGCCGTCCCACGAGAGCACAAGGAAGTGGAGCTGGCTCCAAGTGCTGCTGGCAGGGCTGGGCTGCAGGGCAGCTGTCACTGCCCAGTGCCCATCGGAGGGGCTCAGGCTCCACATCAGCCTTACCGAGTCAAAGAGGGGCAGGAGCCTCCCCACAAGCTGCACGGCGATGAAGCTGGCCTTTGTCTTCTTCAGCTGACCCTTCTTCAGGACATTTCGCAAGGCCAGCAGGGTCTTCATCTTGGCTTCTTTGCCACCAACTTGCAGGATCTTGAACATGCCCGGCAGGAAGAGTTCAATGTTTCTTGCCTGTAGAGTGAGGAGAATTTCCATTGGGTGTAAAGATCCCTGCTTGACAAGCTCCCCAGGCAGCCACCCCAGACCCCACCTTGGCAGGGACAGCGTTTGCAGCAGTCACCCCACGTTCTGACTCCCAGATCAGGCCAAGCCTCAGCTTTCCACACAGCCCCAGCCCCCGTTTGCTGACGGGGCTGCCCCTGACGCCGCCCTGCTCACCATCTCGCCTCTCTGTGACAGCCTGACGAGGCCTTCCAGCAGCAGCCTGGCTGTCACCACGTTGGGACAGCCCTGATGGCTCTCCACGTGGGGCTCGTCAGCCAAATCCTGCAGCTCAGCCTTCCTGGAGGACGACTGCAGGAGCAAAGGGAGCTGTGAGGGGCCAGCAGAGCCTGCAGGGCTGGCGGGAGGGGACCGGGGCCTTTCGTGGTCACTCACAGCCATGGGGTGGGTGTGGGGCCCTTCTGCCGAGCAGCAGAAGCAGTGTCTGCGCAGCAGGCTGGAAAACTCCTCCAAGATCTTCTGCAGCGTCTCGGGCATGGAGGACATCAGCTCCCACAGCTCGGGGGCAGTGCTGGAAGGCAGAGCACTGTCAGTAGGGCTGCCTCAGCCACAGTGCTGGGCCTGGAGCAGCCCCCCAGACCTCCCCCTTGCAGCCCTTGCTGCACATCCCCAGGGGCTCTGCCCAGCAGGCAGGACAGGGCTGAGGGCGTGTTCCCCGTGGGGTTGGAGCACCGGGCTGGCTCTGGGCTGGCTCTGGGCTGGCTGGGCCAGCTTTGGCTGCTGTGAAGCCAGAACACCCAGCAGGGCTGCAAAGCAGGGGCGGATGGGAGGCCTGACTGCAGGCTGTCCCGCAGCATTCCTTGGCTCTGGCAGCCAGAGAGTCTCCGGGTCCCTCTCCCCACATGCAACAAGCCCACTCTCAAGGCTGTCAGGGCCAGTACCTATCTCCTTGAAGAGCCACCTGACACAGGAGGATGACCACTGTTGTGGGGAAGCAGTTGGTCAGCAGGTGAAGCAGTGACTCCACTTTCTCCCACGCTGCCTGTGCCGTGATGTCTTGCAGGCTCTCAAGGATGCAGCTCACTATCTTGGGCACCTGGAGGGGATACAGGTGAGGATGGCACTGGCCCTGGAGTGCAGCCATGTCCTCAGTTGCCCTTCCCATTCCTCTCTGCTGCCTTGAGGTGGCTTTGGGGACCCAAGTCACCTGTGTTTGGGAAGGAGGGATGCAGGGAGGAACAAGGCCCAACAGGGCTGTAGGGCTGAAGGCCAGGGCAAACCAGCCACTTACATCCGTCAGCCAGACGTCTGGCTCTTCCAAAGCCACATCCAGCAGGCTGCTGGGCACCTGCTTGTCGAGGATGCTGGAGTCTCTCATGGCCTCGATGGCCACAAGGATGATGTCTCTCCTCTCCTGGGACCGCAGGTATTGTCCAAAGGCCTGTGGCAGGAAGCAAGGAAGACACGTCCCACTGAGTGCCCTGATGGTGCTGCTTGGCTGAGCAGCTGGAGCAGCCCTGGCCGGAGGTGCTCGGCACTGCTGACAGCAGGGCCTGCAGTCTCTGCATGGCAGAAGATGAGCAGAGAGGGCCCTCCTGCTGGGGTAGGAGGTCTCATGGGCACAGGGTGCTGGCCCCACAGACAACCAGGGGCTGGCCAGGCGGCTTGCTGGTGGCTGCTGGAACTGAAGCTGCTGCTGGGACACTGGAGTGCAGCCCTTGGGCTGTCCCTGCTCGAGGACGGCGGGAACCCTCTCCCCAGGGAGCTGAGGCCCCACTGATGTGGCTCCTTTTGCTCCCCACAGTGCCCTGCCGGTGCCACGGACACGAGCCCCAGCAAGGGCGCAGCTCCTCACCTTGGCACAGTCCCTGGCGCTCAGAGAACACAGCGCGGAGGTGGTCACAGCTTCCCACTGCGCTTGGCCTGCTCTGTCCTTTGCCCTGGATTCCACTAAACACCAGGGCAAACACACCACAGTCAGTAAGGCAGAGCAGCTTTGCCAGCAAGCTCACCAAACCGCCCTGGCATCTGCTGGC